ATAAAGAGGCCTGATGAATATGTGGCGCACACTTTTCGGTTAGATGAGACCTGAGGCTCAAATGGGATCCAGCATGTTTGACATGATCATCCACAGTGAACGCATAGTCCTGATGGTGAAGCACAGAGGAGGGAGTTTCATAATCTGGTGCTGCATGAGTGAAAAGGTGTTGGTGGGATGACACACAGACTGCATCATTCATGTCTGTGGATATACTAAAATACTGGCTGACAAGAGGACTACCAGTCTGAGGACGCTTGGCAGAAAAGGAATATTCTAACATGATAACCACCCAAAGCACACAAGAGTTTCTAAAGAAAAATGTGAAATGCATGACTTTCGCTGCATTGAGTTCCTACAATAGGGCCTGTACGTTTTCATATCATAGATTTAAAATGTTAGTTTTTAATTTTACAAAAGCACAACTGTTTTACCCTGTATACAAATTTGCAGTGTAATTTTTAATCCATTTTACATTTGAGTGATGTTGCACTTCTATTATATACTGTATATCATTAGATTATTAGCGATGCATTGACGTAAAAGCAGGATTTCACAGCTGTAGTTGGTTCAGATGGAGCACATATTGAAATGTTTTTAATCCAATTGCAAGTCATTATTGTTAATGTTCTGGATTAATTTTCTGAATATTTTCTTCACTGAGTGTCTTTGTAAAAATTCAGAAATGTGCTCAATCTTACTATCAGAAAAGTGACCAATTATCTATCAATTAACCATTGGGTATATTTAATTAATGACAAAACATCATATTTAATAATAGGTTCTTCATATGTTTGGAGTGCCAAAATCTTAACTCATGAAGCAGCTGCTAACTAAAGATGTCAGATAAATGTAGAGTACTATGTTTCCCTCTGACATGTTGTGGCATGAGCAGGAAAATGCAGAAAACAACCACCTCAGATTTGTATTTTAGCACAGTTATTGAGTAAATAAGAGCGTTTTTTGAAAGTAAAGGATGTAAAAAATAGAACATGCACGCTGTATTGAGCATCTGAAAAGCATGCAAAGCTTTGGATTAGCTTGGGTAGAGCAGAGCAGAGGTAGAAAGAGATGTAAGTACAGGACTTTGACTCATCAGGTGAACACAAAAGCAACTACAGATGTATGCAAATGCTACTCTCCATCTGGTTGTGGGGTAAAATATTAGCAATTTTATATGTATTGATACAATTAAAACAACATTGGGACTACTGCTGCTTTAAAAAACTGTAATTTCCATGTATTGGGCTGCTTTACAGAGGTCTCAATAATTCACAAATACTATATTGAAGATCATGTTTGTGGACGCAGGTGGACACAGTACAGCTAAAGTCAGGTTACATGTGCAGATTTGTGTTTGTTTCAATAATATGAAGTAATATGTCCATTACAAGGTGTAAAATGTGTCCAAAAAAAGCAACTTTGTGGTGTCAATGGGCTCAAACGTGGTGCAGATGTTCTGGCGTACGTTCATGCGACAGTTAATTACAAAGATGCAGCGCAAACCTGTGTAACAGTACTAGCTATCCTCATCCTTTTGGGAGTGCTTTATGTAGCAAACACTACATACTGAGGGAGTGAATGCAAACGTGAACAATAGCTATAGATCTACGGTTATGGTTTTTAACCATTAAAGCAGGATAACATATCCGAAGAGACCCCCCAAATTTAAATTCAGAATCCGTAAATGTGCACAATATGGGCTCTTTGAATAGTCTCCTCACTGGATTTAATTATATGCTACAGTATGTTAGTCCAAAAATAATAAAAATAAAATCCTGATTACGACACCCAAACTATGATCAAGGCTGGCAGGATGCAAGCAAACTGATGAAGGAAGCTGTGGAAATCTGACAACAGTTAGTTAAAAACTGGTATGATTTATTTTAAAGGGATATTACTGGAGAATTAGAGGAAGCTTTAGTGCAAAGATGCGCTGGTGGAGACTGGTTGAAACGAACTAGTTTGCATCAAGTGTCTTCCAACCACGTTTAAAGTGTTTGTACTGTAGATGTTTCGAATGTGGGGAAAAAGCTGATTGTGGCAAGACAGTCAAACAGAGCAGACCTTTGGACATCAGGAATCCACGGAGTCGCACTTATTTGGACAAATGAAGACGTGACACAAGCAGCTGACTTGAGAGAGAAGTTCCCTGCCTACGTTTTCAACCTCTCACACCAGATTTTGGAAAATTACAATTCTCCAGTGCTCAAATGTGAGAAAAATGGGAATTCAGATGGTGTGTGTAGCAATCTGACAACCACTTCACTACACCGACTGTCTATAGCATCGTTAGTGGCAATTTAAGCAACACAGCAAAGGAAAGATTTATTAATAACTTTGATTATGCTCCGAACATGAGATCATGTTTTCGTGCTACTTTCTCAAGTGATTACTACATTTAAGAGTGACGCAGTTAACTTTATATATTCCTGCATCCCTAAGGGTATATAAAAATACTGTCTTTCTAACCACCTAGTTTTATATTTCTAAACAGAAACAGGTGGTGCTAGTACCCAGTACTGAGCAAGGTATTCTATGTAAAAACTTCTCATAACAGTTCCAAAAATAGAGAGGGAAAGGGGTTAAATATAGTTCATGTCATTTTATTTTGGATTTGATGACTCTGTTAAAGTCTATGGTTACTTCTGGGTTGTTAAAGTGGTGTACAGTTGCCCTGGCTGCTGAATACGACCTGAGAAGAAGTAGCTCTGCACATTAAGGCGGTAATAAGAGAACAGAAAACTATCTAGATGACGCTGTATGTGAAATGAATAAGTGAAACATTTTGCATGCATTCCAAAACGGTTCCTTTTTTCCGCTCCTCCCGCCGGGTTAATCATTAGCAAATACCTCAATTTGATTGCAGAAAATGTCAAAAACAGTGCAACAGGTGGTTTAAAAGACAGCTGGCAAAATGAACCATTGCTGACCTTTTAAACAGTGTGGTCACATGGTCAAAAGATGATCATCAGTTAATCCTCCCCAATTACTCGGATATGCCCCTGGGTGCCGAAGGCAGCGTGTGCAAAGTAGATTCTGCTGCTGTCCGCATTTCTGGACATAAGCAACTGAGGAGCACGCATCCAACAGTGAGAAGTTTCAAACACGAGTCCATGCGGGAGTGAGGCGCAAAGAGCTGAGGGGAGAGGGGTGAAAGGAGGGGCACGGGTCCTCACTGGCATTTATCCCTTTCCCAGAGGCACTTTGCAGAGTGTTGGCCCTGCAGCAATGCTGAAGCCATCTGTGAGTTCTCTCAGCAGAGGCCACGTAAAACAAGACGTGTGCTGTGGTCTGACCTTTCACAGTCCTAACTATAATATTATCATAAGTTTAGAGATCAGATTGCACATTTCCCTGTGGTGGGATTCAGTGTCCATATGAAAAGGTGATGACTGAAAACCTTGTGTGGCTATATGTATTCTTGTTACCCAAATGTGGTCAGATCATAGTCAGGATTCCTATACCGACATCGTAGCCTTGTGGAGATACCACCGCTTATCATTGCATCAGGTGTAGAAAATGATTAAGAAATAATGTGAACAGTTAAGAAACTGACACACTTTCACACTCTTTTTTCTAGCAGCCCCCCAGCTTTTGTTGCCTAGTGCAATTTATTTCCCCACAGGAAACCTCAGCAACGCTGAACACCAGAATGGTGGCATAATAGACTAATGTCTTTAGGAAGTGGCACTACTACAAGTTAGCACAGTGTCAAGGATTTGTTAAACTTTGTGGTTGAAATTACAGTGCAAATCTCTGAAGCATTTAATGCAGCCAGGGATAATATACAACTATCTGTCAATACTAAAGGCCGAGCAGCTGACGCTAATTGAGGGAAAAGAATTATGGGTAGTAGCTGGCACAGGGTACATCTCTGACTTGGCGCTTGCCAATACTCATTCCGAAGGTGCCACAATGAGGCTTAGGGAGAGTAAGATACTCTGGCTTTTGGACAGAAATCAAGTCAGGGAGTCAGATGTCGCTGCAGTTTGAAGACTGTTGTTGTTAGTCTAAGTAAATGAAGAGTATGCAAGAAACAAGTCCTCAGAACCAAAATATGAAACATATTGCATAATAGAAACGCTCCCAAACTGCAAATGTGCATTTAAGTCAGGCTGAAACCACTTGTGTTTTAACGTTTTAGTAGTTTTGTATGTTCATGTTAATATTAATTATACATTCTTATTTTGGTCTGTTTGGTCTTGTAGCAGATGGGCTCACTTCTATTGACTGATTTGAGATTGAAATCTGAGTAATCCGTAAGGATGCTGTGGTTAAACCAAAGCGTTGCCTTCTTACCACTTGTTGAATTTCAACTCCTGTTGCTCAGAAAGCTCTTCCAGCAAAGATCCATGGATTAGTTTGCCTTTTAAATAAACACACTGAACTTTAGTGCGACAATTTTTTTTTCATCGTTCATCAATCTCAAACAGTCTATTAGTCGTTTGGGCTATAACATGTTAGAATATGGCGAAAGATGTCGATCAGTGCTTCCTAAAGCCCAAGACGATGCCCTCAAAAGTCTTGTTTTGCCAACAACTCAAGGATACACAGTCGTGGAGTAGTAAAGAATATTCAAATGTAAGAAGCTGCAATAAAAGAATTTAGGCTGGTTTTCTAAAAGAATTACTGAAATTGATTATCAGAATAGGTGCTAATTGATAATTGACAACTAATCAGTTAATTGCTGCACCTCTACATACTGATGTTCTGAGTAAATCAAACTTTTGGTCACATTATAAAGTGTAAATATTTTTCTGATTACAGAGCAATCATATTAGTCTAGCTTCAGCAGCTTGGTGTGAAATGAAACCTCATGGAGTAAATGTTAGAAACATTTGCCATATTTGCAGTGTATTGACAATAATGTACTATTCGAAATTCACAGAATGAGTAAGATGCTTGAGTGGAAAAATGTGTTTATTTTATGTTCTGTGTATAACAAACCAAGCATCCTAAATAAAAATAACTGGCAGCGTTAAAATCAGGTAGCTTTTTTCAGGTATTGTCCGTGAGTTGTGTGCTTTGTTACAGCTCTAAAGGCCTCATCAGAGCCTCAGCTTCCTGGTCTGTAGCGGGGATGTCAGACAAGTGTTGGAGAAAGGGTCGTCCATGGATACAGGTTCGGATGGTCTCACCCAGCTGCCGTTCCATCCGTAGAAGGGTTTCCTCCACGTCCTCCCTTGATAAATTTGCGGGCAGCTGACGAGCAAGACGAACTGCTTCACCCTGAGGGAAGAGTCCCGTTTGAAAGATTTAATGAAACTAAACAAAACACCAAAACGATGCCATTCTTAATTCACAGAATCTCTCACTTGTAGGTAATTTGTGACTTTAAGTGGCCGGCACTCTTGCACAGTCCTGGCCTTCTTGTGAAGAACTGCAGTCAAAATCTCCCTGAGGTCCTCCACACCGAGGAAAGGCACGCAGTCTGCCATTGCTGTCACTTCCAGATGTCTCTCGGCTGACGTGAGGCCTGGCCAAAGCAAGCAGAAAACAAGGATTAATATACTCCAGACGCTACTACTATCTCCAGGAAAGAATAATAAATAAATATTGTGGTTTACGGCCGGACTGATGACCAAGTCAAACAAACGGAGGGCCAAATGGAGTGTTAAATGACTAATAGAAGCCCCAGCAGACAGGAAGGAAGTTGTCTTGTAGGGCTGAAGAATGATGGCTTCTCATTTCATGAGGAAATACTGCAAATCAAGCACAGTTTATATTGCTAACACATAACTTTGGATGGTAAAGGAAAACCTGGAGATGCAGTGACAGTTAGAATCTGTCTGTGCTGGTTGTGCTTCCAATAAAAGAATGCATAGCTGAGAACATTTTCTATTAAAAATGCACGAAGACAGCAACTGGCAATAACAAGTATCCTGATTGTAATAACTGGGAAACAGTGCAGATGGAGAATCACAGCGTACATAAGTTTTACACAAGCTAAACAATACATTTTCAACAACACTAACAACAGCCAAAGATATTCAGCAGATTTTGTGCAGTGAGACCATCTTATATTATGCCGCTACCTTCAGTCCCTTGCACACCCACAGAGGCTGGCAGTGCCAAATGAAAATTCCTTGAATTTCTTAAAGGGCAGCCATTCTCATCACCTGCACACTGGGGTACAAACCTACTGTGAGACCACGTTGTCGGGCAGAGAGCCAATGTCAACTGAGGTGAACCATTCCAGCAACAAAAACAACCAACATTCACAGGACACTGTACACCCTTTGCAAGCAAACATAGTAGAAGTCAAAACAATGATGAAGAAGCTGGCAAAAACAAGTTCAGCTGAGAGAATTCTGCTTTATTCTTACAGTCGGTTTAACTTCTGTCAATCTGGACCTGTCAACATTAAACCAGATGTTGTCGGGTCCAACATCTGTCATAATTTACATTTATTGTTTACCATGATGGACAGTTTTATGAAGGATTTGTGAGATTTTTTTCTGTCTTATCCACAACTAATCTGACACAGAGGGTCACTGTTAAAAATAATAGCATATAATCCAGTTACAGGCACTGTGCCTTTGACATTTCTGAATGGTGAACTATGACATTAATCTGCAAACATCTCCAACATTGGTTAAATAAAAAGAAAAATGTTGTAACTACACTGCTGTTATTTGGGATCTATTTTGTTGTCAGGTTCAGGGCATCCCATATGTAATTAAGAGATGATTGTTTAATCAATATCGCACATGTTTATCCAAAAGTTTCTTGACACTGTACCTGGAGTGAATTTGATTTTAAACCCATTAGCCACAAGCCTGGGATCAGAAAACAGGGCCCCTCCGTTCAGTTCAGGGCTGTGTTTCTCCATGTTGCACAACGTCTCAGTGTACTCAGCTCCCCCTAGATTTCTAGAAAACAGAGACAAGAAGACGTTTAACAAACAGCACTGCGTTTTTGTACGTACGGTCAGCATTATTAGTATCACCAATAGAAACCAAGAATCAGGATTTGTTTGTCTTAACAACAGTCTCAAGTACATGTATATGTAAAGAAACTGGATGAGTGTGTGTTTTCCATAAGGAAAACAACTGTCAGGGTTGGCATTTTGCTGGTGAGAAGTGAGTGATACATTACCCATCTGTTAACTGTATAGGGTTCTGCAGACTCACTGCTGGAAGTATATTATTCTCTAGAAGTCTTTTAAACAGCAAGGCTTCCTCCACCCGAAATGGGTTTAACAACATGAGCCTCTGACCACATAAAATGACCCAGGCGCTCTGAGAGGCCAGCCGGTTTACAAGACGGAGGCCCCGTGGTGCTGCGCTGCTCTGGGATGAGAGGCGCTGAAGCTGCAGCCGAAGGGCAGCCATGCTGCAGGGGAGGGGCTGCGAGGGTTTAGGCGCAGGGTTCATCATCTTCTTTTGAGGCTGTGCAGAGAAGAGCTCGTCCAGCAGCTGCTGGTTGGATGGAGTGGCCTTGCGTTTTTGACCCTGCACGTGGCTCCTAGAGGTGCTCACACTGAGCTCCCTGGGGCCTTGAGCTGAAGCTAACTTGGTCCTTTGGTCGTGGTGTTCCAGGTGTTTTTTTGCCTTCTCCTCATACCTACAGAGTAAAAGAAAGTCTTTTAGAATTACAATGGTGGTGGCAAGTGTCATCATAAATAAATCTATCTATCTCAAGTTCGCATCCCAGCATGAACTGATTTGTGAAACAAAAAAATCCCAAATGTTTGGGTTAAATGGCCTAAATTTTCTTGAGATGATAACAATGATGTCATCATTGTTATCTTGGACAGGACTTGACTACAGCCTCTTATCTGACATCATGCTCTGCTTTCACTGTTCTTTATTTCATTTCATCTTGTGTCACTCCCCAAACTCTATGGAAGTGCAACACTAAATCCCTTAAGGCCTAGTTTATGCATGGTTGTTGTTCCAACTGCACTTAAGTACCTACATTTGAAATAAATTTGGAGACCTGTTTCACGTTAACTTAGTCACTGAAAAGATGCCGAAACAACAGTAATATGAGACTTAACATCTACATACATCTAATTGCCTTCATGTCCCTCTCCGGTCACTGAAATAAAAACATCAAAACTAATTTCTCTGTGTCAAAGTTAGATATTTATAAGGTTTTTCCGTGATAAATATTGCAGCTCAAGGACACCAGCTCACCAACGACTCTGTTCAAACACTGTAAAACTACTAACTGTTAGTATTATTGGAGTAATGTTTATCTCCAACATGTTCAAACAAGGCACTAATGCTTAAGAAGACTAATGATATAGAAAGAATCAACTTGAAAGTGGACGGGATTGGTTTCTCAGGTTTGTTACATATGAAACCGTGGAACTCTGAATCTGTGTTTTTGAAACTGTCATCAGTACGCTGCAGTTCTAAGGTGGAAATGCTCAACAATGATGTTGGCTGCTTCTTTTGCTCATGATGTGTCTTCCAGCATATAAAAAAACACCATATAGACATGTTAACCAGGTAAAAAAAACAACTTGATTTTCAGCAGAAGAGGTCTTTAATCAGTAAATACATACATCTAACAGGTCTAGCAGATCTAGTTTTGGTGTTGTGCTTGTTGCTGGAATTACACTTCAATAGGCGAATGTACATCGAGTGTTGCTCAGGTGTATTTACATGGCAGCTTCTTGTAATCCTTTTTTTTTTGTCATGTCCGTTTTAAACCCGTATTTTGACAGTGGGTTGAATCAAACAACACCTGGGTCTCAAGTTTGCAACATGTTGCGGTTTGGGAGGTGTGCACATCCACTCCTCTCTGACCTACAGTGACTCTTAACGCCCTTCTCTGCATAGGTTCAGCCACACAATTCCATCAGTACTTGTGTGCGTTGGTAATTTCGTCTGTGAAGCACAGCTGCTGAGCTTCCATCTGTTTTTGTCTACTCAGAACATATTAGAGTGTTTTAAAATAAGAATTTACACAGAGTCAAGACCTTTTACCCAGAGTACAGGCAGAGAATTTGATACAGGGGTACATAGGGTACTTTCCCTCAGCAAAAGTTATTTGCCAACTCATGTTTCCATATATCTTCATATGTTAAGCATTAGGTCTCACACTTCAGCACCCCATTATTCAAATAACCTGTTTCGTGAACTTGTGTATGTGTAATTCCTAGAAGTGGTGTGCCACTTAACAGTGGCGGTGAAAGAAGCCAAGTCCTTGCCACATCCTATTTCATGTTTAAGACAGCAGTACAGCAAGGCAGCATTCTAAACAGATGTCTTTTTCCATACACTCTTCCATACCTTATATAAGGCCCCAAATACTGCTGATGCACATTTTCCGACCTTGCAATTACTTTAAATTGGTACGCAGTAATCTAACATAATTAGGTTGAAATGCTTTCAGGCCAGTCTAATGGTGTTATTCCATGATGCTAGCTGAGCAGCTCAGCAGATAGACATCCGAAGGTAGCATGGCTTGCACTTCCTATCACTGGCATCCATCTGGACCATTTTAGAAGTTACTAATGACTGCTGGCCGAGAATTATTTTGATGCAACGAAATGATTGAAAACATGAAGTGTTGCACATGGCTTGTCTATTGTGATTTGCTCAAGCGCCATTTTCTAAATGTTTGTTGTGCTCACCAGATCTCAGAGTCGAGTCAGAGGAAAAGACACACCTTGAGCCTCGACAACGACACATTTTCTCTACCAAAAATGTGTACATTCATCTGATTACTGGGTTTTTATTTTGTTTGTTTGATTTTTTAAAAACTATATATTTGTTCCATCTTTGTCTAACCTTTGGTAAAGTAAATCCTTGGACACTGAGGGGATGCAGGGGGAAACAGAAATGCTCATTACCTCCATCTGTTCTTAACAAGCCAACTCATACCACTTAAGTAGTTTAAGTGTAAGTGAGTTTTTGAAAGGGCCAAAGATTCCTGCTTGAATAGGTAATAGGGTCTTTAATTAAAATGAGTGAGTAACAGTTCATATCAGTTAAAATGTCGAAAATGAGTCGTGACTTAGTGTCACTATTAATGCCTATGTTCAGGGACTTCTCCAAATATGGGAAATAAAAAAAGATTAAAAGATTAAATACGTGTTGAGTCCGTCACAAAAACAAAATGAGACGTGATTTCTGTGGATAGATAGCATACTTTGAAAATAGATGACAGTTCATCATTAGTAATACCTGTTGCACTGTGGAAATGTTTTCTAGCTAACCCTGTATTAGGCACAGTCGTCTGGAAATTAGAAACACAGCTCATATCGATAAAATTTCCAGAGCAGGCTTTTCACATGCAAATGACAGGTCAGACTTTCCTCCTCTCTCTGCCTTGCAAATAACAAGAAATGGAAACAACTGCTTGGAAAGGTGAAGGTCTGGAAACTCACTTCTTACGGTCTTCCTCCCCCAGGTTTTTCCACCTCTCGTGGACAGCGACGCTGATATCCTGAAGGCTGGCTGTGGGTTTCTCCCTGAGGACCTCAGCTCTGGCCTCCTTCTCAAACAGGGCAGCAGGAGACAGCGGTGCCCTCATGGCACGGTTGCTGATCAGGTCGTAGGCCGTCAGAGCAGCCCGCTTTTCTGTTATGGCATTGAGTGTCTTTTTGCTTGAGCTGCTTTGACTCTTGACCTCCTCCGAGTCAGAGTGGTTATGTGTTGAGGGTTGCTGAAGTATCACGGGCTGCAGAGGTTCTCCTGAGATGGGATCTGTCAGAGCTGTACCCCTGCTCCAGTCCTCAGCTAATATTTGGACTTTGCTTGTGTCTGCAGCTGACACTACATCGTCTTCAAGTCTCTCTGGGGATTTTTTTGCTGAACCCGTTTCTGTTGTCTGAGCGCAGTTCTGTGCCATTTCATCATCATACAGAGAAAAGTTAGAGACGAGCTCAACTGGGATCTGGTTGACAATCCAGTCGTCTGCTATGGAGGATGAAGAGCTACAGTTTGAGGTCTGGTGGTGCAGTGGAGCAGCCGTGCCTGCTGTTGACAGAGCTGCATCACCATGTTGAGGTGCATCTTTGAGGCAGTTATCGCTGTGGTTGGTGAGACTGTTATCCCTCTCTACACTTGGCTCACTGTCCAGTTGTGAAGCATCAGACTGCAAAGGATTAGATGGTGAGGGAAATGTCTCATGGCTGAGCTGCTTCTCAGCTGGGAGATCAGCATTAGACCGAAAGCCATAGAGGGAGACCAGCAATGCCTCCACTGCAGTCAGCACAGCCTCCTAAATATCAGGCAGATGATAGATGGTAAACAAAAATCCTGAAGACACACAAAGATTATGTTTCCAATCATATCCTCTAGGCTACGGTTTTCATTTACTCCAAATGCACAAACTCTATTCAATTTCAACTCAATATGAAAGCTTGAGTTTCATGACTACCTTGTTGTGAAGAAGAACCTGTGTCTTGTCTGGTGTCAGATTAACGTCCAGCGAGGAGGGTGGAACTGTGATTTTAAGCATCAGTGTGGGGTATCGACTTCGGGCTGAGTCATCTGGATACTGAGCACTGTAGTGTTGACGCAACAGCTGACGATCCATCACACAATCGGATGACGTTTGCAGGGAAATGAAAGAAAAGAATGTTGTTAGATAGAAAAACAAACAAACAAACAAACAAAAACTAAAAATTAATTGTTTTTAATATATCCAGAACTGCTGTACCTTCATTATTTCCTTTAGCTGAACAGGTCTGTCATTGACAAATATAAATGTTTTGTCAGGGTTAGATGAGCTTGTGGTGGAGTATTCAGCTCCAGGCTTGGGAAAAAAGCCCTCTAAAACAATCTGAGTAAAACAGAAAAACATATCATATTAATGATCCAGAGCAGAGAATGAATGTCACGCATCAACTGCTCAGAAATTAGCTACTCGCTGTGTTTCACTACTAACCAAAAAACATACAGTAAGGCAATCATACAATATGCAACATGTACCGACTGCAATAAAAAAAGACATAATTGTGCCTGGGAAGTTTGTGAGAATGTTATGCTGTTGAAACCAGGACATTAGAAGAAATGTACCATCAAATTTTTAGTGAGGATGGCATGTTGGATCCATGCCACCGACAGCACGGCTGCACAGCTGGAAATGCAGCCATTAATTCTCGTTGTGTGCAAGCAAACAGGCCCGACATCAGTCACATAATACTGTACACAAACTGTCAAGAACAGTAGAGCTACACTTCCAAAGATGGTGACTCTCATTTCGCCAACTCCTTTACATGTGATGTCTAAATAGCAAACTATATAAACTTTAAAAAGAGTAGAGAGAGAGAGAAAGAGAAGCAATGAGACACCTGAGTTTGTTGTTTCCTCTTACATGTGTCCACATGAAGGCTTCACTATGAGACTGTTCAACCAGCTGGTGCTGAACACGTTTCTATTCAAATCTGCATCATACATGAAGACCTTTCACCTAGAATCATGCCAGAGGGAGTTCTCATGAGCTGAAATTGATGACTCAACGTAAAACTGAACAACTGTACTTAAAACTCTATTATGAATGTAAGCTAGTAAGAAATTATGGAAAGCTATTAATGTCCTACAGATTGCAAGCGGTGAATAGCTATGCTTCTTTCCACATGGCCTAGGGCTCATTATTAGCAGCAACGCACGCCAATGAAGTTAATAAATGAACTGCTGTTTCAGGTCAGGGCACATATGCTTCTCTCTATTTCTGCTCATTAGGGTCACTTTATGAGAGTACGAATGGCACCTCTGGCCCCAAAGGGCCTCGGCTATGTGTAGTCAAGCTGCCAAAAACGAGTGTCACATTTTGTTCTGCAGTGGAATAGCTCTACAGCTCTCCCCGAGAGAGGCTGGTGAAATTGTCAACCTGGTTCCCTTGATCACGAAGCTTTGTTCTTGGGGACACAGAGGAGAAAAGTTCCCTTTCATTGCTACAGGGAGCAAGAGGAAAAGGTGAAAGGTTGTTCTCATAACTGGGCACCAAGCAGCAAAATAACAACAACAAAGGGGAAAATGAGAGAGAAACAGGGTGAAAAGGGCTGCTCCATATCTGTCAGCCTAGATTAGTTGGGAGCCTGACAGCAGGTAGGAGCCACATGACACCTACCGTGACCAAGCAGAAAGTTACAGCTCGACAGTAATTCAATTACGATCAGCACAGCAAAGCTTAGCTAAGAAAAATCACTCACTCCTCATCAGCAAAGAACTCAAGAGAAAAGGGCAAAGAAATAGTTGGCCAGCCACCAACTGACCACATTTGCTGGCTTGAGACCAGGCGTTCATGATGAGGTTATTAGCTCACAGTCCAGTATAACGTGCATGCTCTCATTTGCGCTGCAGAAATGATCCATCTTACACGGGCATTAATGTAGTATTGACAGTTCTAAGTGGACCTCTCTAAAAGAAGGGAAATCACCATCATCATTGATTACTCGTGCAAATCAGCAGACTTGTTTTCAAATTCTTTGCTTAACATTTTTGGCACTGGAACATTTTGGAAACAATGAAAATCAGACAACTTCAATCACACGTCACATTTTGTCATGTTTGTGTTTTGAATAAAACTACGACTAAAAGATGTGTCATTATCTGATAGATTTGTTGACACTGAGCTTTCACGGTGAGCAAGCGGCCACTATGTGCCTTTTGACTGTGGCGCCATAATGAAGGGCAAAGAGCCACAGCATGAGAGCCAGTGAGTGCAGGGTGAGCATGCAGCTCTGGGCCTCTTAGTGACACTCATCCATCCGTGTCCAGCTCTTCACATTCACAGTGTCGTTTGTTGCCATGTTAAATTGCGCACCTGAGCAATAGTCGACGTGAAACAAAAACCGACACAACACTTAACATCAAAACCTGCATATGACACAAGACGGTTAATGATTTGTAATATTACATTTTTTTAAATTGGACTCATGTAAATTGTGAAATGATGTTTTGCTACACAACTTACTCTTCTGCTAGAAAAGAACAAACAACGTCAGTTATCCTCTACAAATGTTTTACAGAATTCCTCCATTTTCTCCCATTTCTGCAGTTTGCCCTTAACTAACCTCTGGTTGCTCTTGGTGATGGTGGCAAGGGAGCAAGTTGGCAATCGCACTGGGCCCCAATGTAGCAAGGAGGGCGCTTCTGTTATCGGCCACCTTGGCCTTCTGCCAAACCACCACCTGGAACAATATGACACCAGTCAGCTTCCATGAGTCCACATCAGGCGAATCACACCGTATAAACACCTGTCAAGATAGTAACTGGGCCACCAAGTTGCCAACATGTCGAGAGTTCATACAGTTTGTTTGTCAAGAGATTCAGCAAGAGATTGGTGGAAACTGCAGTTTGGCAAAAAATAGCCAACGTTAACAATTTAGGGCTGAGAAAATTAACAATATGGAGGAGCAGTTGTACATATAATTGGTTATTTAAGATATTATTAAGTACCAAATCAAGCCGTTATTTCAAATCAACATGAACAGTGAATCGACTGCGAGCCTTGTTGCTGTGAAGATAATGAAGTCAAGAATTAGTGCAGTTGTTTGCCTCAACCAGCCAGTCAAGGTGCACTTTATACACTCATATAGCATATGTAGGAAAAACTTTGAAGAAGTTCAGTAAGCCAGCAGTGACAATAGTGTCACCGAACCAGTATCTGACCAGTGAGTTATGATGTTGAGTAACGGGCAGAAAAGTGTTTTTGCACAACATTTTGTCCTATTAGATATTTGTGTAAATTCATAATTAGTGTATGCGTTATGGCCAAAATCGTGTTTTGAGACATCACAATGACCCTTGACTATCAGATTCTACTCAGTTCATCCTTGATTTCAAGTGAATGGCTGAGGCAAGAATGAACAGAACGGACAAATCGACGAACACGCAAAAACATAATGCCTCAGGCCAAAAAAAAAAAAAAAAGCCACAGCCAAAAAAACAGACGCATTCAATGCAAATGTTGAGAACATTTTGGGTACGAAATATGTTAACACCCAGTTTGTGTCTACCAGTAAATATATCTCCCGGGTGTTGATTTCTAAAAGCACACACACTGTTGCAGGACATGTCTCCGATATTAAATATACAATTTGGCACATGTAAACGCATAACTCCTGTAAACGGTTCTTGAAGAAGCTATGAAACATGACACAAGCCAAATGGCAGAGTTGGAGATAAAGGATAGGGGCAACTGGGTGCTGATTGTACAAAATGGGTTCACCACCCTCCCCTGACAACTTCGAAATTGATTTCTATGAAAGTTATACGGTGGTCGTGTGCCCCCTTCCTGGCCTGCACCACCTATACGCTCATGTGTACAAAGTGGCTGCAGCCTGAAACCCTATCTGGGGTCAAGTCCACAGCTGTGTTCAGCAACTTTCTCCGTCGCCATAATCAGGCAAATCGGAGTTCACAGTCAGCCATATTTGTGTTTGGGGCACCTGACATTTACACTTTGCTGTGGTGGGAAACCGTCTAATGGATAAATGAATCCACTGCTGATTAAACTCATTGTATGTCTTTTTTTTTTATTTTTTATTGTGTACACCAAAAACATGTGACCGTGCACAACTCAGGGGACAGGTGACAAACAGCCATTAAAGACATGCCAAAAAACTAAATTATTCACATTTAGCTACTCATGCTGAAAACATGCAACCTGAATACAACTCTGATGACAATTAATGACTGAACTCAAAGCTATCTGATGATTCATCTTTTCAAACTTAACCAAATAACACTCGACATTGTGGAATACGATCCATTGCTTTGGCACGCGTGTTGAATATGTTTAGTTAAGCTTCTATTGTCAACTACCTCATCAACAATCACCAAAAGACCTCGACGAACTTAAAGAGAAACACATTTTAGAAAATTACACGGCTCAGACTACGTACTACTTTTATCCGTTGAATACAATTTGGAAATCAGTGTTCACTCACAAGCTGCAAGGTTTACCAGCCCAAACACTGATGCTCGCTGCATAATGATGCACTGCTCACAGTATTTGAGTATGCTTGTCTCCAGACACACGTTTTTGACGGTTGGTCACAGCAAACAAGATTTTTTTTTTTCAGCAGCACTGAGCACAGGTAGAAATTTAAATATCATTAAATACATATAATATAAATGAACAGAAGAAATAGCTGTTGCTCTTGATCGCATTAATTTCAGCACCATCTTCTGAGGAGGTTTAGATTTTCTTCATCCCTTTATACTTTTTAAAGAAACACCTGAATATCATTACAGTACATGCCAATAATTCCCCCTCATATAAGTCATTGTTCTCAAGGTTAACACACTTTAACCCTAAGTGCCAAACATTCTCCAGTCCCAGCTGTTCAGACACAAGGATTCTCAGATTTTTGTTTGGTTTTGCTTTATCTCAGTGTTAATTCAATACCTTCTAACAATTTCCGACCCTATGTCCAGTACAGAAGGCTCCCTGTGTCAGGTTAGTTAGTCTATTCTTCCTTTGCTTGATAAAAGCTTTGGTTCTATGTGTTTCTAAAGTGCTTCTACGAGCCAAATGAATATTTTCCATCACACGTTAACAATTTCACAGTTCAATGACTCGCGTCAGCACTGACAACGAAACAGCGGGAGACTGGCGACAATTTCTGTCTTCAACAAGGCCTTTGATTAAAAATGTACTGCGAAAGATTCTCAATATTCTTTCTGTAACTTTCTGTTTGCATGTACGCAGAATCTTTAGAACAAACACCAAATCTGCTGTCAATAGATGCCTTGTAAACATTGCAGCTGTAAGACAAAAAGACGTGTTTTTTTATTTTGCAATTATGCAATTTTTTACCTGGTCACAAATAAAATGTAGACAAGGACACTGGATGGAATTGTGTGACAAGGGAAGATTATCTATGTTCTTTGCATTTTTTTTTGCCTGTTCCATTTTCTTCTTGTACATTTTGTCATTTCATGGTTCAATGTAAGTAGGTACACGCTATCCTTTGAATTAATATACCCGTTAAGGTTATTTATTAGGGGAAATAAACTGCTCAGTAAAAATATATCTGAACACAAAATCTGCAATGCATTAAATACCAAACTAAATCACTATACAGCTGTAATCCACAGAAAGTTTTAATTTTATTGTCAGATAACAGTCAATTAAATGCACATCACTGATGTTGTCTTACATTATTCTGTTAGAAGCAATTATTTCTTAGAAAGTGCTTCATAGATATCATTTATTGAAGTAATGCTTTTATCAAAATGGTGAAGTTGTTGCTCATGAAATCGAAGGTTTTTACATCAAGAACTAAATGAAGTTCCTATCTGTGTGCATTATTCTGATGCAGTCTGCGATCTTATTGGGGTTTTCAGTGCTTTGACACATGTCAGTGTTGTGCTGTTTATACATGGCATGTTAACAGAAACTGAAGGGGATTCTGAGCCAGTCATGTTGGCACAGTCATCTGAAGACCAATGTGGACACCTAGTGGTTGCTGCAGTATGTTGAAGGCTTCATACTGTATGAACATGGATTTAAATCAGGACAGAATACATCCATACATCCATCCATCCATTATCTATACACCGCTTAATCCTCACTAGGGTTGCAGGGGGCTGGACTCTATCCCAGCTGACTAAGGGTGAAGGCAGGGGACACCCTGGACAGGTCACCAGTCTATCACAGGGCTACACTTAGAGACAGACAACCAAGCACACTCACATTCACACCTACGGACAATTTAGAATCACCAATTAACCTCAGCATGTTTTTGGACGGCTGCAGGGTGGCGCAGTTGGTAGCACTGTTGCCTCGCAGCAAGAAGGTTGCTGGTGCGCGTACCGGTGGGGCCACCGGAATCTTTCTGCGTGGAGTTTGCATGTTCTCCCCGTGCAGCGTGGGTTCTCTCCGGGTTCTCCGGCTTCCTCCCACACAGTCCAAAAACATGCTGAGGTTAACTGGTGATTCTAAATTGTCCGTAGGTGTGAATGTGAGTGTGCTTGGTTGTCTGTCTCTAAGTGTAGCCCTGTGATAGACTGGTGACCTGTCCAGGGTGTCCCCTGCCTTTGCCTGAGTCAGCTGGGATACACTCCAGCCCCCTGTGACCCTAGTGAGGATTAAGCAGTGTATAGATAATGGATGGATGGATGTTTTTGGACTGTGGGAGGAAGCCGGAGAACCCGGAGAGAACCCACGCTGCACGGGAGAACATGCAAACTCCACGCAGAAAGATCGCGGTGCCCTCACCGGGATGTGAACCGGTGACCTTCTTGCTGCGAGGCAACAGTGCTGGACAGAATACAGTATCATCAAAAGTTAACTTTGTTCTTTTAGCCATGGTTTAATTTCACTGGTAGAGGTAGTCTAACATAACACTAACATACTCCGTTGTCTTATACTCTCGTGCTGTGCGCTTGAACGGTGACTATTAAAAGATTTTATCTTGCGTCAAGAACAGCAGCTTTACTTGTGATTTCATCAGCCTGAATGATGTCTGTCATAATGGTTTCCAATGGTGACACATTTTTACTGAGGATAAAAAGCGAAGCAGTGTCCACAGACTTCTCACAACTCTCCCAAAGCTTAATCCACTGCTCTGGTGACAAACTCCAACTCAGCAAGTCCTAAACTGTAGCAGCCTTCAAGAAATAAATATTTTTTTGTTTATCTGATGCCATCTGAACGTGGCAGCTTCATGTCTGAACAAAGAACCCTGGTGACTTTTGATTTATCACGTGGAGACAGGATCAGCCAGGATATCTACGAAGGACAACAGTGTGTTTAGTCACAGTCTGGTGAAAGGATGACTGCTTGGAAGTGATGATGCAGATTGACAGCAGTAAAGTGTTTTGTGAATTGATCTGAAAACAAGTAAACCGTTGCTGTTGGTGTTAATGAGAAACCAAACTAAATGTGTTTTACTGCACCCTTTCAAGCCCACAGGAGGTCAGTGTTTGGTAGATAGATTGCTGTTGTGTTGCATATCACCTTAAAAGAAAAGTTGTTTGACAAAACCGTGATTAAATCTGAAAAGTGTGACAAGTTACTGACCTTATTGTGAACAAGCACGAGTCTCAGTTCAGGTTTTACAATAGCGTAGGCCATCAGCACGTCCTGCACTTTCTTTAGTTCATCTTTGCACTTTTTTGTGGAGGAAAAGCACTGCCTTCTCACTGGAAGATTCTTGAAAAGCTTTAATACGCTCACTGTTGTACCTGGAAAAAAAACACAGAGCAGAGACTTAAAATGTAATTATCCTGCAACACATAGACTTAATGTATCTGGACAATATCAGAAATACTCGTCATGGTTGGCATTATTCTTCTTTTTCTCAACCAGCTCTTTTTCCCAGAGCACCAAACATGTTTTTGTTGTTTTTAAGGATACTTACAAATCGAATGACACCCTCATATAACAATAAAACAACAATCCAAAATCTAATGTGTGTACTGGTTGATCTGGTTAACATTCATCTAAATGTCTCTGTGGCATTATACCCATTTCCAGTTCAGCATGAATAAAAATTAATTCTGCAATCCCAACATCTACAATGTCTCCATCTGAGACAGCTTTAGCTATCATACATTTCATCAGAAAAAGCATTTCCTTTATTTTGCTGCTCACAGTAAGACACATTTAACTATCAGTTCCTCACCTTGACTCAAGTGAGACGGCTTCTGGGAAACAATTTTCCCTGTAGAGTCAAGCATGTACTGGGTGCTGATGTCGTCGTCCTCTGTCTTGGTGGTAACTGCCACCTGAAGGGAAACAGCAAGATGTCATCAAGTTTATCCACATTAGGTTGCAAGCCAGCCATCTGTATTTAATTCCTAATACTTACAAAGCAAAGAGTCAATCTGTAAATCACAAATGCTGTAATAAATGCACAAGGGAGGTAAACTTGTTCTCCTTTTCATGAACTTTGTGATCAATAAGTATATTTTCTTGAGATATTACCATCATTAAATAGCTACAGCTGTTAAACATTTCTCACCTCAGCCACAGCACAGATGGATCCCAGCGCTTCTCCCCTGAAGCCGTACGTTTCCAGACGCTCCAGGTCTTCGTGGCTGCAGATCTTTGAAGTGAAATGTCTCACAGCCATCACAGGGGTATCTGCAGCTTTGATGCCACGGCCGTTGTCGCGTACTTCTATCCGATCCAAGCCGTAGTTCTCCTGAAATGTGTAATTTAATACATACAGCAGAGAAAAAGGAAGGAGAATATGAATAGTGATAATAGCATGCTTTTACCTGCAGGAAAAATATTACTTTTCTACCATAATATCTTTCTGGCAACATGTTGCACCACAACATGGTTTATTTGGATATTCTACAAATTGCATTTTCCAATCGACCAGTCTCACGGCTCAATAAGTAGGAAAACACCAGCTGACAGGGGTGGTTGTACTTTGTGTTCTCAAAGCTAATCTGATTAGTGGCAGGATCTATTTCTGTATATCAATGAGACATAGATGATCATATTGTTTTCAAAAATAAATATGGTGCCTTTGAAAGTAATCATCCTCTTGGAAGCTTTCTCCTTTTATGACATTTCAACACTGAATTATGGTCAAATAAATTTTAGAATTTTAACAAGAATGTAAAAAATAACAAGAAACTTTCATGTCAAAGTCAAAACTGATTTCTACTATGTCAATTAACTGAAAATATAAAATGTAATTACATAAGTATTCACCCTCTGCAAGTCTTAGTAGATGCATTTTTGGCAGCAATTACAGCACTGATCCTGTGTGTATAGGTCTGTGTACAGGTCTGCTGTGGAGATGCATGCCCATATCATAATACTGCCACCACCATGCTTCACAGTGAGGATGCTGCATTTGTAAAGATGTGCTGGGTTTGGTATCAACCAAATGTAGTGTGTAGTCGGATGACCAAAAAGTTCAACTTTGCACTCATCAAACCGTCTTCCATTCACTGCAATCAGAGGATGTGCATACCACTGCAACAGCTCCCTCCTACCCGAACTCTCTCATTTAGTTCTACACGCCCTCCTGCTCACTACGCTCGACAAACAAAAGCCGCCTGATACAATCACTGCAACAGGGCCCGAGGTCAATAGCTAGACTCTTCTCCTCTGTGGTTCCCCAGTTGTGGAACGAGTTACCAAACTCTGTTCAATCTGCTGACTCCCCCTCAGTCTTTAAGAAAAGACTAAAGACCCAGTTCTTCACTGAACACCTTTGCACTTGACAGACTGAAAACAAACAACAACAACAAAAAAATGCCTGCTACTGGCATCAATGCCCTATCACACTTGAACTTGTTCAATGGCATTTATCTAGATTGTTTTCTCCTGACTAGATCTTTGCTTGTGTTGTATCCGCTCTCCGATGTACGTCGCTTCAGATAAAAGCATCTGCAAAATGAAATTGTAGACTTGTAGACTTCTAACACCAACTTGCTGCTCATGTGTTGAATTAGGTGAGTCAATTTAAAGGACGTGAACACTTTTTCTATTTCTAATTAACTGGCATTACCTTGAAAAGATCTGTTTTTGTAAAATTCCTGTAGAAAAAGCTAAATTATATTGACCACAATTTAATGTTAAAAAGCAACATAAGGAAAAAGGGAGTGAATACTTTTGTAGGCACTGTACACTTGTTCTTGTTCCAGAATCTGTAATTTAGGCACTGTACCAGTTTAACATCAACGCTTGAAGCTCCAGCATCCAGGGAGTTTTCCAGCAGTTCTTTCACAACATTCACCACAGAAGTGATGACCTGAGAGCTGGACAGCAGCCGCACAGTGTCTGACGGCAGCTGCTTCATGGTTCCAGGTATCTGCTGAGGAAAAGTCTTGCTTTAATCCAGTACTTCTATGTGTTGTTGAGAATAACAAGGTGACATGAAGTGGATCAAACCCTGGCTGAAAAGCACAAATGATTGCAATTTGTAATGTTTAACTAATAACTATTTCTGGCACAATCTCAATCTGGTCTGACTGAAGATCAAAGAAATCAGGGCTTTTCTTGCATAAGGGAATTTTTAGCAACCCTGAAGGAAATTTCATCCAGCATGAAAGAAAAATCGCGTATGCCAAAATGATAAGAATGGAGAATAAATAACTTATTTCTTTTACAAGTTTTGCAAACTGGAATTTCGTTTACTCAAGCATATTAGACATTTCTGTGCCGAAATAACAACAACAAAATGCATAATTTCTGTCAAATAAATTAATGCAGACTCATTACCTCTGCTGTACACAGACTTATTGTGCCTACTGTCATGCATAGTCACTCTCAAATAGCCTTTTCTAAGTATTATACATGCTAAACCAATTTCATCCTCTTGGCACTAAATCTCTTACAATTAAAATACAGGCATGGGAATGAGTGCAAGCAAGCGATGTTAACAATTTAGTAACTGGCACTACTGAAAAACAATATGAAATTATATAATTATGTATTATAGTAAGCAGGTGAGGCTTTCACAATTGTAGTTATCACAGTTGATAACTGACATCTAAAAACATGAATCAATGATGTGAGCATTATTTAGCAAGCTTGATCTAGATGAAAACAACCTTGATTTCTGGTTTCATGGGGGTTTTAGGGCCAAAAACACACAAGTATTGCTGCTGAATATAGAAATAGTATTTTAGCCAGTTCCTACTCGGCATGACTGCTCACTGACACAAGAAACCTTGTAGTCATGTATCCCATACAGACTATCATTATCTATTTCTAACTGCAGTCAGGACTACAGGCACCGTCCACACCTATTAGAAATACTTGTCCTGTAAAGGTTATATTAATTTTCTAGCAAGAGAGCGACAGACAGTGCAATAACCTGATATAACAGAGAAATCTTATGCCATACTTGTACAATAATAAAGCGCTTTAAACTCATTTGACAGTGCGTTCAGCTAACTGCTCTGCAGCCTACTCACTGCCGAGAGTCGTCACAGCTCGAATAGAACCTGGATTTAAGCTTAAACGTACATAGAGACATTACAATCCCATATTTAAATAGTTGATAATGTTCATAACTAGTAGAATAATGCAGTTAAATACTGACTTGCACTGCCCCTTCTCCCTGAAGCCCCTGTTAAATTCTTCACAACACAACAGACACGAGCCGCACGCAGGAAGCGACCTGCTTCCCGCTGCCTCCACTGCACGGTGATTGGTTGGAAGGGACGTGGGGGGCGGGGCCAGAGAGGAACCGCTAGAACATTCTGCCCTGAGTTTAATCTAACAGGTGCAATACTGCGGGGATACTTGGTGAGCAGCCGTGGAGTGGATTGTCATAATTAATCTAAACACAGTCTGGTTCTAGCTAAAGCTAACCCGAGTGGTCTAAACCTTGACATAACCAACGGCTCCATGGGACTTTTAGGAGGCGGGACACAGCCTGAGAAGTCAAATTAAGGCACTAAATACCCACTGACAGCTTGGAAACCACGTCTCCTTCCGCTCAGGTCAGTCTACGTCGTGCTGTCTGCGCCTGCGGGGAACTGAGCACAACAACAAGGGATAAACCATTTCTGTGCACAGCAGTTTGTCTTTACAAATACCTCCACTGCTCGCTACTACCTGTAAGTTTGCAACGCTGCGTTTGCGGGTGTTTTTGTTTTGCACTTTCGAGTAACTTAACGTGTCTTTACTTGCGCATTGACCAACTTGTTTTGTGGATGGTGGTGGGCTGGGTCGGGCTATGTGCTGGAAACGAAAAAAAAAATGTCCAAGGGACGTGTCATGTTTACATATCTATTTATCAGGGCAAAGTTGTACGATCGACAGAACCGGTTTACAGTACGTCCCTAAGAAGGGCAACTCATCTGATTGTGTGGTTGTTTTTTATTTAGTTAGTTTAACGCTCGCATTTTGCTGTAGTCACGATAATTAATCAGCAAATAGACGAAGCCAGTGACAGTAGCTTGAGCACCAAATCGCCTATTATTTATTTGTAACTGAAGTCAAATTGGACTTCTCTTATTGTCTTATCACATGTAAGTGATCTTGTTAGCAGATATATTGTCAGACCTGATCCATCTGTTGCTTAATGTGAATCTGTATATGTGTCAGTCGACTGACATGAGCAGCAATAACCTAAATGTAACATATATATAAAGCCTAATGTTGCACTGACTAGATTAAGAATTGCTTACAGTCATATTGCCATATGCAAAAGCTCATTTTCCTTTGGACTGAATCATAGTTTAAGTGTGATCAGCAATCTTCTCATGCACATGTTAGATAATGCCAATAATTACTACAATGACATACATGTTAAAGAAGTGTCAGCTTAAAATTTGAATGCACTGGACCCAGTTAGTGGGGACTGTGGTGTTTAAGTCCTAATTGTTTTTACTGACTGTAACTTAGGCTATTTATTTTTAAGTCTTAATTCTTAAGTACAGTCTGGCAGCTGAAAGTGTGCCAGAGGGCAAAGTTCAGCGAGATTGCACAAGCTGTTTTTCTGTTATCACATTTGGACTCGTAGGCAGGGCAAAGTGCTCCAGTGACACTTTGGTGGGACAATTTGATTCTGAAAGTAAAGCTATATCATATAAGCAATTGTAAATGTTGCACAACTTCAGTTAAGGTCAAAGATATTACTAAGGTTTGCAGATATTGTGCGCACAGTACAGTGCTGTAGGTTTTAGAAATTGTATGATAGTAAATGGCACAATCATTGATCTGACATTTTAAACTTTTTGCAGTGCATGTAGTCGACCAATGATTAAAGAATGAATGTTTAACCTCCAGATGTAATGAAGTCAAACAGATTTACATTAATAGGGAAAAACTCCAAATGAGATGCATATAAATGAAATATTGATTTGTGGATGTTTTCTGTCTGCAGACCAGAATGAATGTGGGTGTGGCACACAGTGAGGTGAACCCAAACACTCGGGTGATGAACAGTCGAGGGATCTGGCTGACCTATGCACTCGGTGTAGGAATACTTCACATTGTGCTCTTGAGCATACCCTTCTTCAGCGTGCCAGTGGTGTGGACTCTAACAAATATCATACACAATTTTGTAAGTTGAATTGTCCCTGAGCCAAACCCACAAACTAGGCTATTCAGCACACAGTCACTCACCAAAGCAATGACGCACGTTGATTTCACAGGGATTCGGATAACATTTTCAATACCACTAAGTAGGCTGTTAGCATCTCATGCTAGTTGAAGGTTGCATGCATGTTTAGGCCAACAGCTGGGTGTCTGTTATCCTGTGCCGTGCCTGCGCTTGTGTGAGCTTGTTAAGATACGCTCTATTTTGGGGAGGCTGTTCTTGTGACAGCCAGATGCGTGACCTATTATAATGATTTCTCCACACCACGTAAGGTCTGTAGTCAAAACTGACCTTTCATTGTTACATGGCTGGCCTCAAATAAAGAAACAAAGTGGACGTGTGTGATATCATTGAATAGCGCAAGCTCGAAGCAGTTAACAAGGATTGTGTATCGCAGCCAATACGGAAGGCTATTAACAGTAACGGCTAAGGTCAACTATAGCCTATTGTTTTCCACCACAATACAGCAGCAGTGTGCTGATTATGCCTTGGCTGTATCTCAGCATTTTGGTTTTATTACTTTTTCCTCTGTAATGAAGGTTTTCCATCTAAAGCTGAATTCCAGTGTTTTGACACAGAGGCATGTCATTAGAAATTAGTGTCATTCCCAAGATAGCTAACTTAATTTGCAGTAAGAAGACGTCATTTTATGCAAGTTTTCTTCTTTTTTTTTTGGCTCTTTAATGCATGTTTATCAAGGCCCTAAGCTGCACAAGCACCAGGCTTGAGCTATTTTGGTTCTGTTGGGACAGAAAGACACCCAGAGTTGGTGGTTTTTAATCTATAGTTTGTCACAAGAAAGTAAACACCCAGAGACTTTACATAGTAAGTTTGCATTCCTGAAGCAAAGGATCTAAGTGTTCTGACAAGTTTTTAACATTGCTGTTTGTACATTGTATTATTCAAAACACTTTAAAAACAAATGTATTCTGACATTTTATGATGTTACAACGAAGAAACAAAGATGAAAACAACAGGGCCACTCCATTTAATCAGTCTATCATTACAGTCTTGTTCTTTACACACTCAGCTATGTTTTTGTCTCCACAGGGAATGTATGTCTTTATGCATGCAGTGAAGGGCACACCTTTTGAGACCCCTGACCAAGGAAAAGCCAGACTTCTTACTCACTGGGAACAGCTTGACTACGGCGTACAGTTCACCTCATCTAGAAAGTTCTTCACAATCTCCCCAATCATACTGTAGGTGTTATATCCTATGATTCTGTCTCAACATTTATGCATATTTTTGGCATTGATCAATGACAGTAACGTTTAACTAAATCCTAGATCTGGCACTCTAGCAACCAGAAAGTGAATTCACCTGCAGCGTTACACATTTTGATGATGACTGCAGTTGTAGATATCATGGAATAGTCATGGAAATTGAAATGCTGCAATTTATAGACTCCGTGTAACAATTCATGTCACAGTTTTTATCTTTTAGCAAGAAGGAATTCTTGATGTATTTCTGAAGTAAAGCATCTGTTCTTTTCTACAGATACTTCCTGGCAAGTTTCTACACAAAATATGACACAACACACTTTGTCATCAACACTGCTTCACTATTGAGCGTCCTGATCCCGAAGCTGCCACAACTACACGGAGTGAGAATTTTCGGTATCAACAAGTATTAAGTTATTGTAAATGGTGTGCCTCTCAGCAACAGAAGCTAATTCCTGTGTAGTCTGTACCGCCGATGTGTGTACTAAGTCATACAGTTTGTGTAAAGGCCACTGTTGTCGTTTAGATATATCAGGTTTAAGATGAAATGTTTTAAAAAATAAACAGGAGACATTTGTAGATGACAGGATGCCATATGCATTACTAACTTATGTGAATATTTAATGATGTATTTTTGGCCTGCATAGACCTGGGCTGGCCCAGGCATCAGTGAGGCTTTTGGTTGAGTTTAATTTTTCTTTCTTTTCTTTACCCTCAATTCACATGGTGACACAAATTGTGAGTATGAGTCTGTTTCTAGTCACAAAGATGTTCCAAATGTATTTTTCAAAGATGTTTACTTTGTAAGGAGAGGAGCCTGTGGCTCACTGTTTATTGGTACACTCTCATTTTGTAATGGGTGTCAAACATATTCATGCTGAGTGAAGAATAGAATTGTTCTCTTTATTAGCGTGATTTCCTTGGTATGTAAATCATTGCTCATTTGTAGCTCAATCAAAACGGAGCAGGCTTTTTTCATTGTACAGTTTATTTTTTTGTGAATGTTTTGTCCTGTATGTTAAAGAAAAAATCCTGTATGTAGAAATGAGACAAATTATTGTTGTCAGGTTTAAAGTGTTTACTGAGGGAGATCTACAGTGTCTTTGTGATAAACTTACACTCATGTAGCTGCTGTCTTTAGATTATGACTTTTTGCTATAATCAAGGCAGCTAGTCCTGCTTTGTTTGGCCATCGCTCATAGTACTTGATATTTCTTGTTCTTAATCTTATTAAAATGTTTGTGCCCTCCAGCTGCTGCATCTCACGGCTATTTATTGCATGGTTCCCAGTCATTATGGGCTCTCTGGATAGTCATGAGGCTTTCTAGTACTTTGCACAGAGGAAAAGTCATATTTTGAGGATTCTCTCAGAATTATCAGGGAACTTTGGCTGACCCGATACCTGAGTAGTTTGGGTACATAACATATAAGCACAAATACCTTTAAGCAGTGTATATACTGTTCTGCTTCTCCACATTTCCCAACACTCTACTGTAACTATCAAATAAAGGCAAATATAGAAAGAAAAAAGGGATTATCAGGAAACTTTACAAATATGTAGAGAACATATCGGAAAACTCATGTTTTACATTTGACCTATTTTATACACTTCGACAACACAAAATCCTTGGTAACCTTTGACCTGCTGTAACACTGCCAAATCAAGGCGTATCAGAACTTTGTGCACTTTGTGTTTGGCAGTGTGAGGTAGATGAAGTGGTGAAGTACTGTTACATAACACATTTCACAAGTGAAATGAAACCGTGAATGAAAATTAGACTCTGCCAACTGACAAACACAGTCCCATTCCACATTCAACATTTTTATTATAAGGGGACGCCTTAATCCAGACCCAGTAAAGTTGCAGAAGTGTTTCCTGCAGTCCTTGACCTACACTTCAAGTCCTCCATAGGACAAATATAATAACAGTGTCTCCAATTTTGTTCCACAAGCTGAATTGTAATTGTATGTGTGTGCTTAATAGCCACTACAGAACAATCAATATTCATGTTTTAGTAGCTGTGAATGTTTAACCTTTTGTGTCCCCCTTCTGGCAGTGAGTGTAATTACACTAAACACACCAACACTAAAACACCGTTGATGCCTCCTGGGTTTTTGCCCCTAGCTGCAATTCCATTTACCCAACATGAAGCCACCGCTGAAGCCTACTCTGTCTCTGTTGCTATGGTTGCGCCTCTCTTCAGCCCTAAAAAACTAATTGTTGGCTGATGTAAAAAGCATTGCTTTCAAAACTGCAATACACTGTGAAATACAAAGATTTACTTGCCGCTCTTAGACTTAATCATCAATGTGTGAGTTTGACCGGCAAAGGCTTGAATAAAACATTCAATAATATGTTAAAGCCCAATACTCTAGCTTTAATCCTCACATGCAAAAAGTAAAAAACAAATCATGTATCAACTGTTACACATAATCTGCAGGTGGCGGATGTTTCAAAAGTGTCAGCTGCAATTTCTGTATTTTCCAGTCGGAGGAAACGGCTACAAACCATAGGCTGTAGAACCTGCAGTTACGTAGGTAACCTTAAAGGAAGTCAGCACCAAGATAGGAAACCTTCTGTAAGTACACACACTCACGATGCAAGAACCACTTGAATAAAACTTTATTTAAAATAAATGTTAATGTAAAATATTTGCTTCTTAAGATCTTCAAAATTTCTAGTAAATGACCAATTAAACACACACTTCCTGTTACTGTCCGCTGTCCTTTTTGATGTGGTCATTCAAACTGCTAAGATCTTCACACTGCTTGCTCAACACTCCTTTGTACACTTCAAAGCGATGGTTCAGATCTTTCTGTGCGTGGATTTTAAACTTCGTCCCAAACGCCCCATCAGCAGAGCCCGTCCCATAGAAAACCCGTCCAATCCGGGAGTGCACCAGCGCCATGGCACACATAACACAAGGTTCTCTGGTCACATAGAGGTCATAGCCAGTGCATATGTATGGCTGAGAACCTGCCTCTAAATCAGGTCCGTTTTGAAACATATTCGAGGTTGGTGGGGTAAACTGGCAAGCAGGGTAACTGTCAAAACAGTAGCATCCACCACCCTGACTCCGAGCTACAAGGTCAATGCAGACCATGACTGCGTGGTGGAGGGGGTGGTCACCTCTGCAGTCGTGACCCACCGCAACGATTCTCTCCATCGCTGGGTCGACCACAACTGCCCCGACCGCCTCCATCCCCAACTCCCTTCCAGCTTTGGCAGCAGTCACGGCAGACATCATGTACATGTGCATCACAGCTTTCTGAGGGGGGCTGAAGAGCTCTCCTCTCAGGGCCACCGTCACCTGTTTGTCCTCATGGAAGGATGTAGGCCAGTGTTGGCTCGCCAGTTCAAACTGGGGTCGGGTCAGGGGGGCACGTGCAGGAACCTTAACCACAAAAGGCTCACCTAATCCGTCAGGTTTAACTCCAGGCAGAAGAGAGTCGACGCTGACCACCTTCATGTCTGGCGCATCGCTGACGAGGCACACCAGCACCTCCAGAGGGTGAGGGCTCCCCTTCTCCTTGCGTGCCCGCACCCTCTTGATGTGCTGAAGGCCATTCAGCGGGTAGAGGCTGTTCAGCTCCCTGACAAGTTGAGACGTCTCTTTCTTGTTGACAATGGGCGCAGCAAATGCCTCTATCAGCTCGACGTCTTGTGACTGCTCATCTGACAGTACAGGATAAGCAACCCAGGAGTCGGCATCACACGCTGACCCTTTCCAGCGTTTCATCTGTGGCTCCATTGTTTTGGTGTCCTCCTGTCAGCACATTTGCAGGACAGAGCACATGATGAGAAAACCTTTCCCCTGTCTTGGACACAATTCAGGCCTGGTCTATAATGCAACAGCTTTTGGCCAGAGGACATTCATTCAATTCTTTAACGTTGCTCAAAACATGAACAAGCCAGTTAAACTTCAAAAGGTAGCAGTGAACTTGCAACAAATCAGAATTAAGTTCTCATAAATTACTCAGCCAGGTTGGTATGAAGCCATTGAAGAGGTACTGCATCAGTTTAGTGTGCTCTTGTAAGGCCAGTTTCATACATTCCACAACTACAAGTATGTGACAATCTGCACGGCAAACATTTCATCATCTCCCCAAGTCTGCAAGAGTCCCCATAGACCCTTCTGCAACCCAGAACTTGTATTTGAACAGAATACGGTACAGGGACAATAATGCACATGCTCTGTAGTGGTGTGCATGAGCAGATAGTACCTACTGTGCATTTATGGAATGTGTCTTAAAGCGAGTATACCTAAGACTTCAGGTTGATACACTGACTAATGAATAATTTAAAGATGCAGTATGTCAGATTTAATGGCATCTAGTGGTGAGGTTGCTGAGTGCAGCCAAATAAATACCTTGCACCTCACCTCCTTCCAAACCATGTAGAAGAATATACAGTAGCGGCTAAAAACACAAGAAATGCCAAAGAGCCAGCATCTGTTATGCAGTTCTGACATATGAAGCATTTGGACTTTTAATCCTTTGTATGACTCAAACTCCAAAAATGTTTTTTTTTCCTTTCTTATAATGCATCTCAATCACTGTCACGAGCAACATGACACTCAACAACTGCATTATATTCCATTACATGATGAATTGTCACCTAGTGTTGGAATTTTGTGTTTTCTTTACATAGATAAAAACATTTCCAATACGTAAACTGATGAGAAAAAAGGCACAAATCTGTTCCATTAGCACTCATGACAGGTGAACTGAACATAATGTGTAAAAATCTGTGGAGGGGCCCTTCAAACTTGTCTAAGGAGCTCTTAAAATGTGCACAGAATACATTTTGCAGTAAAAAAAAAAACGCGCTTGTCAGTGCTCCCTGGTGGACAAAATGTTAACTACACTACTTCCAAACTACCTCACTATGTGCATATTTTGGTACATATAAAGCCAACATCAGCTGATTATATCATGGAATAGTTGAGTTCTGATTAAGTCCATAAAGTAAGGAATGCATACATAAATTATAATGTTGGATTTATTTCATGTATGTATTAGCAAAACAAGTATTTATTACGTCAACATAAATCTTTCTTGTTTTTTGACACTTGATTAATAATTACAACTGAAATATACAAAAGAAACTTGTGTGATAACAGCTTCACAGATGCAAACTCATGCTTGCCTTTCTGATCAAAATAAATCGTTTTAGGCTGCTGATGAGAGTAGTATAAAGTATAAAGGTGCCATTCTGAGCGCTGTTAATTAGGCCTGGACTTCTGTTGTTATTTATTACATAGATATTTGATAGCTTGACTCTATAAACTTATACAACATTCAAGCATTTAATCAATAATTGGAATAATTTCGAGTTGCAACCCCAGATGCGTTGTTGCCTTGGACAACAAATGGAAAAGCCACTAACAGCGTCATGAATCCACAGATATTTAGATTAAACTAATTTAGCATAGACACATAATCACTCTAGCAGACTCCCATGTATATCAGGTGCTGTGGGGTCAGTGGCAATGTGGAACAATAAGATCATGTCTTTTTTTTTTTTTCATTTCTTCCCCAGCATGAGCTTCGTCTTCATAACTTTGGGCACATGCCGTATGGTCAGCGACACTCTGGTGCCTCGGGTCAGTGTCTCCCCTGGCAGCGCCCCGGCAGCAGACAGGTTCACCACCTTGTCCGTCAGCGTGTCCTGTTCGCACCCCTGAATGCCATGAAGGAGTCGCTGGTACATTTCATCCTGTAGGATGAGAAGACTACGTGGCTTCACCAGCAGGGAGAACAGGTAGCGGTTCTCCTCTGTCTGCAGCACGTCGCCCTCCTGGCTGCCAACAGGTGAGTAGAAGTTGAGCAGGGTGTGAGAGCCCAGGCTGATCGTGGTGACAGTAGGGTGGTACAAGGGCCCGTCCTCGTGGGGCATGATCCCTTCTCCTGGATTATACTCATTTACCAACACATGATTGGCTGTTTTCCCACTGAACGCACCCAGAGAGGAAATTTTTTCACAGTACGCGTGGAGCCAGTCAGGAATCCTCTCTGCCAGCATGCCTTTGGGATGTGGTAACCCGCCCCAGTTCTGCAGCCTTCTGCCTGACAGCTGAGTCCATTTAGTTTTAGGAGACCTATACACCTGTTGCAGCAGGAAGGACTCCTCATCTTCTGATATGAAATCTGGGATGTAATACACTGTTGGCGGGGCGTCACTTACGACAAACTGCTTCAAGTCCTCCAAAATGCAAGTTGGGTGTTCCATGCCTCCTTTGGAAAAGTTAACATGAAATGCTTATTAAAACCCAAGTCAAGGAAAGCTAATGGTGGCACATCTGGCAGTGGCTAACAGCAGGGAGTATATGTACCGCAGCTGTAGTTAACAACTACTAGACATCTCACTAAAATATCTAAGACATGTATTAAGATGTGCAGACTATCCAGTAACAGACTAAGAACTGAATATACTGTATGTGCTAGCTGCAGGACCCCCTCATCAGCCGCAGCAGTCCTCTTACCATGTGATCCCAGGCATTTCTGTTGCAGCGTCACTGAAGTCAGCTTCAGATTCAGCATTTAAGGGAAAAGTTAAATATTTATAAATGAAAACTGCGTTAGATGTTGAAGATTGATCTTAAATGCTGTCTTCAGCCCACTTTCAAATTTGTGAAACTTTATTATACTTGTAAAAATGCAATAACAAAATTGGAGTTACACTGCTTTTTGGCTGGTATACCACATTATCCTTGGTCCAGATTAAAAAATTACTATATGCAGACTGGTTAAATCTACCCTAGATTATGCCACAGAGGCAAAAGAGTCTTTAAAACACAGTTTTTGGTTTGTGAAACCTTTATTCGGTTTGTGAACTGCAAAGAAGTAGAAAGTTCTGTATTTTTGATGCATGTCAACTACACCTAACCTGTTCCATATATAAAACCAATATATCGAGATTAAAATTAAGCAAAAAAGGCTAAAGAGTCTTAAAAAGACTACATCTGATTTGTAAAGCCTTTATTGGATTTTTAAAAAGGCAAAAAAATAGGCAGTTTCACTGCTTTTGTTGCACATAGACTTCAGTAGGTCTAGATCTAAAGATCTAATCATTATCGACTGTTAAAATGTGAACTAGATTTTTCCTGAGATGCTAAAGAGTCTTTAAAATATGGTCTCTGATTTGTGAAACCTTTATTCCCTGAGTGAAAATGCAAAAAAGGATATTATATATTGTGGTAGGAAATCGGGATCAGGTCTAATGTGGTATACACGCATCATAAGCAGTAAAATCTCCCTTTTTTGCATTTTCAATAACAGAATAAAGGTTTTACAAATCAGAGACTACAGTATAAAGACTCTTGAGTCTCTCTGGCATAATCTAGTGCACATCTGGTCAGTCTGTTGATGTGGTTTTTGGACCCTATCTACAGTAGTCTTGTCTATGTGCAAAAAAGAGGTTAAGTCTCTCCATTTTCACAAATAGAATATTTTACAAATCAGCGACAGGATTTTTTCCAGACTTGACCCGTCTATTACAGTGGTTTGTGATCTGAGCCTTGTCTAACGTGGCAACAAAAGCAGTTTTTTTATGGTATTACAAATAGAACAAAGCTTCCAAACATTTGAAAGACGTTTTTAGACATCGTTAAGGATTTCTCTAGAATATATAACATTGTTTTACATTATTACAACATGAAAAAACTGCAGATCCATCGCCCAGAGACTTAAATTTAGTTCCCCTTAACTTTTCACTTAAATACCAAATCTGAAGCCGACTTCAGTGTCGCACTGTTGCATGCTCTGTTGATAGCATTAGCAACTTTTAGCTTCCTCACACCTTTCATACACGTTCCGTGCCTACACCCAATACAGTACACACAGAGCTTGACACAGATACTATGATGAGTTACAAGTTCACTGACACCTTTAAAATCGATACAGGTTTGTTCTTTTCACCTAAAACACAGAAAAATCCAATTCTCTGAATGTACAACTAAACGCAATGGTGCGTTTATGGTTGTAGTACATAAGAGCTTCACACGGGTAAAAAGCATTTTACTCAAATCCAAATGAATTGCTTGTGGTTAGAAACATTACTACAGTTAAACTTTAAACCACGGCTTATTAGTGTTGTTTCTTTACACGAATCCCTAAAGTAACCGACGCCTGTGTTAACGATACCGTGACATACAACACATATGTTAGCATCATCTTTTTATTTCAGCAATGCTAAATTTATATGTTGCCTTTATTTACAACACTGGCTGTTTCTGGAAATGTGCAGGCAACTCTACCATTTCTCACAACAACACACTGCCCTGTTTTAAGGTTATTGTGCGCTTTCATCAGAGATACGACATTTTTTTTTGAAAGCCTGAAGGCATCACGTCTTACTACACGGAAGAAGGCTACGTTCAAAACAATTCTGTTAAAAGCGCCAATTGGACGGGGTCGCTCCCAATAAATACTTTAAAATTTCAATTTTAAACACGAGCAGACACACCAAAAAAATCAGATTTACCTCATTCGACATCAATATTTTGAGGTAAATGCCGTTTCGTCAAAAAAGCCGAGTCGTGCGATTCCATGCATGTAGGTTTGTGCAGCTGACTAAAATGTCCGTCCAAAAAAAACACATCGATTTTTTTTGGACCCCATGCCTAATTTTCCAAACGATTATTCAAATAGTGGCTCTGTAGCGGTGCAAATTGGGCACCTATACTTTAAAGTTGTTAGTCTACCTTCTTGGTGACGTCTTTTAGCTGGATATCTGCACTTGATGAAAGGTTACAAGCTGGCCGTGGACGGAATTATTTACATGTGACACAGTGAGACGGCATTGGAGACAGAATGAAAGTCAAGTAATTTCCTTGGTAAATCGAACTTGAGGTTCGTGACCATGTTCTGTTCAACTGCAAAACGTGTGCAGAGGCTGCTGCAGTTTAGACACACACTACGCTTCACTGGTCTTTGTGGAAAAGCCTCCTGCTCCAGACTGGTTTTAGGCATCGAGACAAGCTGTGATGACACTGGAGCTGCTGTGATGGACGAGACGGGTGCAATACTGGGAGAGTCTCTGCATTCACAGAAAGAAGTTCATCTCAGGTGGGTGTCGCAGCTGGGGTCACATAGCAAGATCGTTGCTACTGTTCAGGGTTTAGTTTTGACTTTTTTTTTTAACTTCATGAATGCTGTAGGACTGGTGGCATCATCCCCGCAGTGGCTCAACAGCTTCACAGAGAAAACATAGACCGTGTGGTCCAGGAGGCTTTGGAGAGGAGCGGCGTGACCCCAGGGCAGCTCTCTGCTGTGGCCACCACGGTGATGCCAGGCTTGGCCCTGAGCTTGGGGATCGGCCTTGAGTTCAGCCGGAAGTTTGTGAGACAGCACAACAAGCCCTTCATCCCCATCCACCACATGGAAGCCCACGCCCTGACTGTCAGGATGCTTCAGCCCGTTGCCTTCCCCTTCCTGGTCCTGCTCGTTTCTGGTGGTCACTCACTTCTCGCTGTGGCTCGGGGTGTCGATGACTTTCTGCTTTTGGGTTACACGCTGGATGAAGCTCCAGGGGAGACACTGGATAAAGTAACACTAACATTTAAGTTTAAGCTCCTGATGTTCAAACTGTGATCATAAACAAAACCTAAGTGGTCTGTTGTGGATTTGCAGGTGGCCAGACGTTTGTCACTCATAAAACACCCACAGTGCTCCAGGCTGAGTGGAGGACAAGCTATAGAGCTTCTAGCAAAGGACGGTGACAAAGGACGGTTCCCTTTTAGAACACCAATGGGACAAGCCTATGACTGCTGCTTTTCTTTTGCTGGACTGCGGACTCAAATTACAAATACTATAGTGAAAAAAGAGGCAGAGGAAGGTATGAAAATGCACAAACACCCAAATAGTCATGAATGACAGCTATGTATCACATGAACTACTAATGCACAACTAACAACAAATTATATTTTCCCTTGAACTTCCCTCTGCAGGTGTAGAACAGGGGACACTGTTGTCATGTGCGAACGACATTGCAGCTGCCACACAGCACACCGTTGCCTGTCATCTTGCAAAGCGCACGCATCGTGCCATCGTGTTCTGTATGGCAAACAGTCTGCTGCCGTCAAGAAATCCCACATTGGTGAGTGCTTTTCTTCACTTTGTGTTTTATTTAATTAGTGAAACTAAGATTGCTGCAGTGCTTCTGCTGACCCTTAACACTGATATAAGGAGGCTGTTGGTTGTCGCTGAGTTTCTGCTCATGTCTGTATGTGGCTGCACGGTGCTCAATTTATCCTAAGAGTCGTTCTTTCACTATAAGATTTTTGTAGTCTATGGGCTTACAATGGATTTTATATTACAATATCTGTCAAAAGTGTTACAGTAGTTATTATTAGTTTTGAGGGGAAAATAAACCAAGATTTTCGATATAACTTTACCAGTAAAAATGGTATTACAATATTAGATTGGGCATGTTTATTTCATTATTAGGTTTTAATGCATTTTCGAGCAGGTTAAGTTTAAATTTGATCAAATTTTCAGTAAGATTATACATGACTGGTGGCGGCAAATTTCAGCAACAGAAACATAATTCAATGTAGATTAACCTTTGAGGGGATAAGGTCGGCAAAATTCCTCTCATTGTCAACAATAATTCAGCCGTAATGGTATACCACATATATTAATCCACACCTGAAAATAATCCCCAACAAATGCACTTTTTGTTTTTGTCATTTTAGCAATTGTAAAAAAAAACAATAACAAACCACAGTGCCCAGCTGTTTTATGGTGTTTTAAAAGAAGACAGACTAACACATTGTGGCTTTTAGTTTTTTCATGAAATGCGGTGACAGTGAGAATAACACAGAATAACAACTGTCTTATAAATCAGAACTTAATTGATACATATTTTGATTCAAAGAAATCCTCCGTAAATCCTCTTTTCTAGGTGGTGTCTGGAGGAGTTGCAAGCAATCAGTATATCCGAAAGGCTTTGTCCATTATCACTAAGATGACGGGACTACACCTGGTCTGTCCTCCAGCCAAATTCTGCACCGACAACGGAGTGATGATTGCATGGTGTGTACACAGTAATGTCAGGATCTTCATTTAAAAAACTTCTTTAACAGTGAATCAGATCCCATTGTCTGATTTAATATTTGCTCATGTTAGACAAATCTCTTTTTTTTTTAAACCAGGAACGGTGTCGAGCGTCTGAGAGAAGGGAAGGGGATACTGCCTCCAGATGTAGATGTTCGCTATGAGCCAAAGTAAGTCACCACTGAATACAAGAAATGTCACTTACTGTTGAGATACAAAACAAAAGTATTCAGGTCTTTTTATCTGTACTGCTGAGTAAAATCAACTTTGGCTCACGTAAATGTTGCGTTGCAGGGCACCACTGGGTGTGGACATCTCAGCGGAAGTCAGAGCAGCAGCAATCAGGTTGCCATCAGTCTGGATGAAGATCCACAACTGACAGACTGTTGGTTTTGTTCTGCAAAACAGTGTTTTGTCTTTGATAGTTTTTTGTACAAAATGTAAAAAGCTTTATGCAGATATTTATCAATAAAAAGTTGGACATCTCCACTGAATTTTAGATATTTAATCATTTTTGTCACGACACATAATGAGTTCAGTTTATTGAAACTGACCAACCAAACAATATGCTCCAAATCCCAAATTATCAGAGGTGTGAGAAATATTCAGTTCTTTTTCTCTCTAATATCACAGGGCTGCAAGGTGGAGCAATGGTTAGCCTCACAGCAAGAAGGTTGCAGGTTCGAGTCCCAATGAGGACACCCGAGATCTTTCTGCGTGGAGTTTGCATGTTCTCCCCGTGCAGCGTGGGTTCTCTCCGGGTTCTCTGGCTTCCTCCCACACAGTCCAAAAACATGTTGAGGTTAATTGGTGATTCTAAATTGTCCGAAGGTGTGAATGTGAGTGTGCTTGGTTGTCTGTCTCTAAGTGTAGCCCTGTGATAGACTGGTGACCTGTCCAGGATGTCCCCTGCCTTCACCCTGAGTCGCTGGGATAGACTCCAGCCCCCCACGACCGTAGTGAGGATTAGTCGGTGTATAGATAATGGATGGATGGACTAATATCACATTATGAAAAATACTCTACAAAAAGTATTGCCTTTAAAACCTGAAGTGAAAGTATATACATATTAGTAAAATTAAAATGGCAAAAAGTATTTGTTTTGCAGTAAAATGTTCTGTGTAAGTGTTTAACTATGATATATGATGTTTTGGGATTCATTTTACTGCTTTATTACTGTGTACAGTATGTTGCATTGTACTGCTAATTTGACCAAAAAGGTGACCTTTGACCTCTAGCAGAGCTGTTTTTGCACTGATTGACCCCAAAAACTAACCATTCTGAGGAGAGGCCAAACGTAACTCACCTGTGAAATATCAACTTGTTAGACCTCAGCACTCCACTACAGACTGTTCACATACAGACACACAGACGGGGCCGATTATAGTATAGACACTCTATAGCATTTGCAAAAGCTGTGGAAGTGTTTTATGTGTTGCATCTATTTGAGTGCCTCCTTCAGGCAGGGGGCAGACATGAGTCCATTGCATAGACTTCTGCCCAACCCCTGTGGAGCAGATGTCCTTTCTATCTCAAAAAGCCACATACTTGTTTAAGTTTCCGCTTGAGCACTACTCTCTCATGGTGAGTTAATGTATGTGCATATAAACAAGCAAGAGCTACAATGAAAAACCTGATGATGAAAAAAACACATTTATTACAGAACAAAGAAAACACTAACATAAGAAGTAAATGGTCATTTCAGGTCAGGAAACCACACAGATCTGCAGAATGTGATGTTTGTCTTCAGGTCTGACCTTACAGCTCTGTTAAACCCACCTGAGCTAGAGGTTAAATGCAAATGCAAAATCTCTTGTTTTTTCTCTCGGTGCAAAGTCTAACCGACTGTGGTTTTCCACTTCCAATTCTTTACTTGGTTACTAAATGCAAAAATGCTTCAACAAGGTACAACAGCAATCACAGTTATGACCATATACAGACATATAACTTGTACATGCATTTACTGTCAATTTATTAACGAGATGTGTCACATTTCATTTCTTTTACATTTGTTTTCATCAGACATCCTGTTTGATAATTCTGATAGGGTTAGTCCTAAAAAACATACACCACTTTTTCAAGCTTTCCACTGTTATCTGTGGAGCTGTACATCGATGTTATATTGCAGATTGGAGGGCTGGAAATCCAAAGTAAGAGTTGTTTATTCTTTGCGTCATAAACCACTTACTCACATGACACTCATGTTACGGTTTCAGAGCCACTGATTCAACAACATTGTGCAACCTTGTGGTTTTGTGTTGCAACCTGATATAATATTCACCAAAAGCTAAAGATTAAACCTCTTCAAATGACCAAATTTAGTGGTATTTGCACAAAAGTAAGCCTCGCAGACAGTCTTCATTGCACATTTTAGTAATTACTATTAAAGTTTAGGGGCTGCTTTGCTGGATTAGAAATGGAATCTCCACACACCTCAGTTATTTCATGTCTGCTTTTAAAGGAAAATAAAAAAAATCCATCCACAAAATGCTGATTCTCCAGCATTTTAAATCCCAAATAGTTACTGCTACAGTCCTTTCATAGCAAAAGCGCGTCAGCCGCCACACAAAGAGACAATACCTCTCTTTATATTGATGCCAAAAAGGAAATCAAAATAAAATACCACAAAAGAGGAAGAGGTACTTCTCTGTAAGTCCACAGCAGCTTCTACAGGCTGAAAAACAAGTGGGGATTTTCAAAAGGCACTTTAGGTAAAGGAATAACCCACTAGCTGAAGTAGAAGTGGTGAGACATGTTGGCATAAAGAGGTGTAGACTAAAAAAAAACCCTAAACATACTGTATGTCTAACAGTGCAAGAACAAGTGTGTATGGACATTCTCTTTATTTTATGAGCTACTCTTGTTTTCTTCCAAAGCACAAAAACTAAAAAAAAAAAACCCACAGGATCGACCACCTCTGACACTAGAGCTCATCATGCTCATAAATATTGTACTCCTTTGCGCTGATTATTCCGTCTCTGTCCTGGTCAGTCTTGCGGAATATATCGGCCATAATCTTCTCGTAGAAAGGGTCATCACGAGGCTTCCCACCCTTTTCATACTCCAGTTTCAAATATTCTTTAACCTGAAAATAAAGGAACATTTTACCGGTCTCACTTCAGAACAAACAACAGACTTGTATAACACTGCTCTTGCATAACAAACCACTGTTGTGCCCCTATTAGCCAAATATCATACTAGATGGTATTGAAAGCAGGCCAGTGTAACTTCTTTAGATGTGCTATCAACAATACAGATAGCATCATGACTATATAAGTTAATAGGGAGATGAATTACAGCCTTACAACATTCTTGTGCAATCAATGAATGTTTGTTATGAGAGATAATGAGACTATAAATATGTCTAGCTGTCATTCTTTATGCAGAAAATCAATAAGGTTACCCGAGGCTGCTTGGAAAGATGTGATAACATAAAGATGTAAGGAAGGTAAAATAGGGTCATCATATTTAAATAAACTCACACCATGTTAGATACGCATTTTAAGGGAACTTGTTATTACCAAAGTTGTTTTTTTAACTGTCCCGGTGCCTTTGAACTACAGTTACAGCAGTTGGTTTCTGCCAAATATATTTAACACTTATATACTTTCTGCCCAAGAAGAAGATAAGAATGATACACATCTCATGCCTGTGTGTTGGTATGAAGCTAGAGCCAGAAGACAATCACGTGAAATCCTTTTTTAGGCATGGACATGACACAGCACTGCTGCTTCATCAGTCTGTCAAAGTGTCGCCATGTAAACACTCGTATTTGTCACAGCTCCATGCAGACATACCCTCCACGTTGACTAAGAGCCGGTACTCACGTGATTTTTGTCATTCAAACGACATTGGACAGCACGTCAAGTGACTTGTTGCCTAATAACTCACTAATAAACACAGTTCCAACAACAAATGATTGACCTGCAGCTTATAAACTGTGTGTCAGCCCGCAAGAAAAGTACACAGTGTGGCTTTGTGTTAGATCCTAATCGATCCAGTCTCCATGTGCGGAAACATTTATGGCTTAAGTGTAAGTAATTAGTGAAGTTACTGCTGTTGTAGTGATTCCCTCCCTTTAGAGATGCTCATGTGGATCCTGATGCTGCAAGTATTAAATACATATATACAGTTACTATATAAGCTCAGATCAAAGACTCCAACAAACAGCAAGAAGCAACAAATGGAACATTGGTTCTTGTTCATGTTTTGCCAAAACCTGGTTTACATTTATCTCAGGTTTGTCTCATTTATCTGAGCTGTTACAGACTCACAGGGAAATTCTGATTGGTGGACATTTCAGTTTGCAATAGATGTGAGATTGCAGAGCAAAGTGAATGAGCAAGTTGTCTCACAAATGGTGCCTTTTGCTCTTTGGGATGTTTTTAGGAAGATTTTGGGGCTGAAATGTAGAAAAGGCCCCTGTAAATAGCTTCACACAACTCAGAGTGCCACAGCATGCAGTTCAGACTTGTGTTCAAAGTGATGTTCAAATGTGACTCGGTTGCTGTTTGCTGTCGTGACTTTTACAGAAAAGTGAACAGATTTTAAAAAGTTCAAAAATACACGTACAGCATCAGCACCAATAAAACTCACTCAATACAATTTGTGTTAGTAGTCTAGTTTAAAGGAAATTAGTCTTTTTGGCAGAGTTGTGTGCTGTAACTGTACGTTTTTTAAATTAGTCCCTTCCTGCCTTTAGCTCCATACTTTATGGCCAGGCACGAGAGTGGTATTATCATTTGTCTTATCATATTTCCCACAATTTTGTGTCCTGTTTTGTTACCTAATCATGTGGTCCTTACAAAAAGATAATGTTTAGGAGCTTCTTTGTTTCAGTTTTGTGACTAACTATGTGTTAAAACAAATTACTGTACAACAATTCTATGGGGGGTTATAATTCTAATGTGGAACAACTGTACACGGTGCACACACACACAGAGAGTAACGGGGGTTTAATAGAGGCCTAGCTGCTCATTTCTGCCTCATGGGCCCCTAATATGTTAATCTAACCATAATTATTACCATAAAAAGTAGCCCTTTCAGTCTTTTTAAATCACTCTGGCTCTTTACACGGGCTTCTAGTGGTTTAGAGAATAGACTTTATTATTTCCCTGTTGGTGTATAAAACATGGAGTGGTTTAGGGGCCAAAATACATTTCTGCTCTGTTGTTCCATTTTTTATTATCCAGACCTCTTAGATGTCGTGGGACAGGTCTGCTCAAAGTCCCCGGAGTCAAAAATTACATGGAGAAGCAGCATTTATTTTTTTATACAAAACAAATCTGGAACAAAATCCCATTTGCCATTTCCTTTTCATAAATTAGATTTGTACCACTTGGTTCATATCCGGCACTGCAACGCAACTTTTATTCCTATGTTGTTGTTTTTTCCCCCCCCGTTCCTTTGCTTTAACTTATTTTTCCCCTTTTTTAATATATATATTTTCAAAGACCTAGTCAAATGTGTCTTTTCTGTCTTGTTGCTTCTGGTGATGGTTGCCAGCTTGGACAGCATAGTCACCTCTGCCTTTGTGAGACTTTTGTCTTTATCGATGTCCATCTTTCCAAATGCCTCCATGCTGCGTGGCCCCCTGGACACAGTGAACACCTCCACCTCAAAGACCACAGTGGCATTGGGTGGTACTGGGCCTTTTCCAGTAAGAGGACATAAAACAGAACATCACAATTAAATAAAAAACAAAACAAACAAACAATAAAAACCCATACATATATGACGCTATAACAGCGTTTCAATATTACCAAACACTAGTATCACACTTCAGCTTAAAGGCTGGAATTGCAGTTGTTTCAAGGAAAAACATTTTTAACTGTGTTGATTGGTATTTTAGGTAAATTCTCAGACTTTGAGTTGAAGTGAATTAAGCAGCTAAAATATAACTCATTGAAGTCACAGATTTGGTCTCAAAAGCAAAAAAAGTCCTGAAAATGATTCAACACAATCTAGAAAGAAGAGAGAATATAAGAGCAACATGCAAGCAATGCTCTTTTTTATTGTGATGTGACGGAAAGAGAGGAAAAAGAAGAGGGCAAGTAAATTATAGCTGTTAAACTGGGAGTTCACACTTAGCAGCAGTCAGTCTTGCATAGGTTTATGTGTGCTGTCCTACAGTACACAGAAACTATGAAGCAAACTGGCGCAGGGGCAACAAAAGCATGCACAGTCAGCAATAACCATTTCCTCCAAAAAGTCAGAATTGAAGTGTTCAAACCTTACATTCAGCAGCTCTGCAACACCGCCGACAGACAATACCATATATTTATGAGCACCGCAGCGGTTTGTAGGAAACAGTGAGCAAAGGTTAAAAAAATCTAATCAGCTGTTAGTTCTCACAGTGTGCTGAAATTCATGCTTGGAAGAAAAGAAGTAGAGACCTTCAAACTCTCTGTGCATGCTTACAGTACATGCCATGTGGAGATGAGTATCAAACACTGCGAGGGCTGTGATGCTAAAGTGCTGCAAAAGAAGACAAGACAGCATGAAGGCAGCTTTTGTACCACTGAGCCAAGATTACACAGTACAGTCACAGCAACTAAAAGACTGGAGAAAAATCTAAATCATTACCAGCAACATGTGTAAACTTCATGCAACCGATGATCGTTCTTCAAATTCAAACCAGACTGGTAGGTATTAATGTCACGAAAACAGGATATTCAAATAGCAGGGACATGGAGTTTGCATGAAACAGGTTTTCATGTAAATTGTTTTATTTGTTGGCTCCCTTTTTTAACCCACTTAGACCTGAGGTGTACTCTAAATGCACACACAGGTACACACACATATATTATTGTTTTTATTTTTTAGTTTTTGTGTTTGTTTTTTATACTTATATTTATATTCTTTATTATGTATACGGGAGTGTGCAAACAAGACAATTTCATTGCCCAGTGTTAAACGGCTGTGTCTCATGTGCGCATATGACAATAAATGTCTATCTATCTATCTATCTATCTATCTATCTATCTATCTATCTATCTATCTATCTATCTATCTATCCATGTGCAGGATCAAGTCTTAATGGATTAAAGGAGCAATCTGCCATGTCTTCTGTGTTTCTTTCTATAGCCTGAAAATATTGCTCTGGAGATGTCAGCAGCGTTGGTTTGGGGCTACAAAAGCCCGTATTACGAACTGAGGATGAGAATTTTTTAAAGATGTTGAGTTTTTAGGAAAAGAAGCTTGAGCTATGATGTAGTCCTGAGTGTTTTTTTAAAGTGCCCAAAGTATGAATTAAAAGTTATCCCTGCTCTGGAGCATGATTGGTGACTGTGTCTGTATGTGTGCATCTTGCAAATCCCGAAACTGAGTGATGCGTAACATCAAACAATACAAGTCTTCCTTTACCAGACTTTTGTCACAGAAGACATTTTGATGTATTTTAGCAAGAAAGGCACAAGTGCACCAACGATGGCTGCATTTCAGTGGTGCTGCTTTAGTACATGACCACTGTCGAGCTTTACTTGAACACTTAGTGGAACTGAGCCACCATGAATCCCACATGTGCCTTTCCCAACAGTAACTGTAAGTGCCTGTGGTAAAATGGGTGGACGTAACTTATTGTTTGGTAAATCTGCAGTTTAAGTGGGATTTTGGCAGTAACGGACTTCGAGCTCCGACTGGTGGCTGCCAAACAACCATAGATAAACAACTATTTTAGAAGTGACTTGGTCTGCCCTCGTGTAAGTATAGCTGTAGCGGTGAAAAAAATAGAAACACATGTTTACTCAGGATCAAAATGCAATATTGCTACTCCTGTGAGGAACATCCTGCCAGCAGAAACCAGCAGTTTGTTGCATTTATGTACCTTTGCCCTTTTCACCAAATGCCAGCGCAGACGGAACAGTTATCTTTCGTTTTTCTCCGGGACACATATTCATCATCCCAATGTCGAGGCCTTTGATGACCTGTCCGACGCCCAGCACGAACCACTGAGGGTGCCCATCTTTGTCTGATCGACTGAAACAGAAACAGTGCAACATCTAATCAACCAGGGCACACACACTTTAGAATAAATCTGAGCACATAAGGATTTTCATGGTGTTGCTTCATGGATCCATGTGAGGACCTCTGAATCAGGCCTGAAAGCAGGATTAAGTACAAATCGAAATATTTTGTGTCTCTACCTATTTACTAGCAATAGTTTTATATGCCACACTAAAATAAAGGGTTTCTGAATTCTAAGAGACACATAAATGAGAAAATAACATTCAACAGGCAAAGTTAAGCCTGTGCTGATGATTCATGACTCACTCCAGGTAATAAGAAGCTGACTAATAATTATATAAGTATTGTGTCAATGACTTGCAAAACATCAAACTGGCTTGTAAAGATAATACTTTTACAAGCAAATGTTTTTTTCCCCCATATCCCACAAACCTGCAGTAAAACTGGGAACCGTCTTTGGCGAGGTACCCATCGTAGTGAGCGTTGATCAGATCTCCCTTCTTGCTCCTCTGAGTGCACTCCTCGGGCTTAAACAGAACTTCAGTCTTCACTTCTCCGTCCAGTTCCTCCGCTGAGGCACAGACGGACCATAAACCGAGCTGTGAGGACACAAAGAGGCAAAATGTGCAGCTCACTAACTTCCACATCATGCCGCTGTGCTTTCGTGGCACCTTCTGAAAGTGACGTTTGAATGCAGCGGAGGAGGACGGCGTAGGGGCCTGAACCCCAGACAGCTATTCTGTCCTGAGTTTAGACTGTCAGGCTTTCGACGCGACAAACAAATCCGGACTCTTTTAATGTAATTGGCCCAAACCGTGGACTTGGGCCTGTTTTACCCATCGCTCATTGCTCTGGAGAAACTTTCTGGGAGCAGTCATGGATGTAGAGGCGGCACACAGCCTGATGAGCCTTTTCCTGACAGACTAAACCAAGGGCAAAATTCTTCCCAACCTCTGCTCAATACAATAAAATATCAAGAATATGCAATATAGAAATTAAATAAGATGCAAAAATAAAGTTAAAGGTTACATTACATAAAAAGAAGTAATAAATGACCTAAAGGAGAAATGATGTCAGAATATTAAAAAAAAATGCTGTTCATGAAGTTAAAGTCTGCATCACAGGTGTGAGATTAATAATACATATTATTATATAAAACGTAGAGAGACTGCAGGTCCAGAGCTTCCAGCCTAAACTGTGTTCCTGCTCTCACCACACGGAGCCATATTAATAAAAACATCACGACAGGAGGAGGACATTACAATAAATAAATAAGTTGGCCGTGATCGTTGTCAACAACCATTTTAAAAAACAAAACAAAAAAACACAAGAAATAAAATGTTGCACTTTATTTAAGTAATTAGATTTTTTTTTTAAATGACAATTTAGTGTTTGTTAATCAGCAAAGCGATATATGGACTATGTGAAAAAGAAAGATTTTTTGAACAAAATGACAAACCTTATAAGGGTATAAATAATTTTAGGAATAAACAAAGAAAGAAAAAGACAGTCGGGTAAAGGTGCAATAATTCCGTTGATACAGGAACTCATTGTATTCAAATGGAATTTTTTATTATTTCTTCACTGCAAGCACTCTGTACAGCCGCTGTCATTAATTAGCCATATCGTTAACGTTAATCAACAGCAGCAAGAAAGGTCAGTGCTGATAGGGCCAATAAACTTACGGTCCAGATTTGACAGACGTGACAGGGGACCAATAGCTAGCTTGAAAGGGTCATAAGTTATCGTTAACCACCAACGTCACCTCGTTTTCTCCGACAGGAGCCGGGTGGGCGGGGCATAGCGTTTTCATATATTCTCGGACGCCGGTGTCTGTGACTCATCGCCTCTCAGACAGTCAACGTAGCTGAAGGGATTCTTCCACAAACCCGCAGTTTCTACCGGATCTATTTGGAACCACAAATTTTTCTCTCATTGCCTGACAGGATTGAGATGTTACATTTTAGGTTCTCGACAGTGCTGAAGGAGTTGTTTGAAGCCACCCTCAAGCGTCCCTCTCTCGGCTCCAGACAGAAGACCTGGTTACCGACCCGCCACTGCTGCTTCGGCGCCGCGTCCGTTGATGCCCGAGCTGTGTCTACTCAACTGAAGGTCCTCCATGCCGCTTCGCACCGCCCGGCGCTCCGCACCGCGCCCTGCGCCGCCCCGTACCGCTCGTACTGCGCGAAAACTGAAGGTGCTGCTGTGGAGCTGGACGAACAGCTGAAGAAGGATGGTGTCGGCAGCGAGGCAACCAGCGACAAGTAGGTTTCTAGTAGTTTCTTAAGGAATGAGCCGCCTGACTCCATGATGTGACGCATACAGGCGGATGCAACATTCGTCAACCGCCGCAAAAACGCCGTATTAGAAAACGATCGGTAATTAGCTAACTTAACATCCTCTTCTCACGTGACACACATGTATTGTATGTATTATAATCAAAATAGCCTCCCCCAAAACATATGTAAGTAATATGTAAGAATATACAGGCTAGCTATGGTAGCCTATATCCGCTATCACACCATGCGTGTCTTGCTCATACCGGGTGCTTGCTGCTGGTACTTTGTGCCAAGTACCTATATAAACACGCCGTCCTCAAATACCAAGCTAACCGAAAGTTAATTGGAATTTCAGAAAGCCAGGCCGACTTGTATGTATTGTTAGGTTAGCTATCTGGTCCAGTGTAGATAAGACGCCACATGGTGTAACAGTTAGAAAGTGAAACAGCACCTACTTAAAGAGGAGTGGAGCCACACAGGACAAAGTCGTCCATATAACATGGACTCAAAACTGCCAGAGCTCTTATTTGATGTAACTTTCAGTTTGTTGGTTATAGTAATAATTACTGTCTTACTGGAAGTCGGTGTGTGTGTACTGGTTTATGAGGCTTCTAGTCATTTCTGCACTGGCCTCCCTCCCTCCCTCTCACTCAGAAGTGACTGTAGGTCACAGCTGGTGGGCTGCTCCACACTACTGACAGTGTCTGCTTTCTGTCCCATGATAGAAAATGTGTGGAGGAAAACTAGCTCAAGCCTCAGTGTGGCTTCAACTGGTACACGTGACAGCAATAAAAAACGTTTTTTTTTTAAAAGTAGTTTTTATGTTGATGTTTTATTTGCTATTTCTAATAACCAAGTAACACAACCAAACTAGGTTCTACATGAACACATTTTGAGAACAGCAGTTAATAGTGAGAGTACAGTGACAGCTATTGTTAGAGTGCCATTCACAATACATATTTTACAAAGATAAAGAACTTCTTTTTTCCCCAGACTTACAGTTTCAAAGTGACAGTAAGTCCTGGTGAGAGATCGTAAGTCATCATGTCGGATTTATTCGTGTACATTTCATGTTTGCTAGTTTCTTTCTAATAGGTTGTGGTTGTATTTTCAGTTTAAAGGTGACATTACTATAAAACTTGTTTTTAACACAAAGCCCAGTGTGATTTTGAAGTCAGCTGTCCAGATAGAAATGTGAAATCTATGTTGTTATGAAATATTGGAATTCATTTATCCGTATTGTCAATTTCATATGTCAAGTTGCATTAAAAGCTACCAGTTGGCTATCTGTACGACAACTGAACTCCATATGTTTTCCTGTAAAGCTAGGCGGTTTTTACGTGTCAGCTCAATACGCCAGAATTGCTGGTATTTTTCCTGACCTAGAAACGAAGATGCACATGGACAGGGCGGCGTCATCTCAAAGATATGGAGGAGGGTGTTGGCTTGGCTCTGCTAATGTATATGCTGCACTTCTCAAGACTGTGTTATGTAGCCACTCTTGGTCAGTGGATTTCCTGTTCGTAGTAATCATTTTCCACTGTCTGACCTTAATATATCACAATTTGTAGTTTTATCTCTATTTGTACTTTTTTCTCCCCACCTAGTTTTTTTTTTTTCCATGCTTTGGGGATAAGTTCCTGGAACTAAATTTTCCCACTTCTGTGTTACCTAATGCAAATTCAAGGTACCGTCAGGGTTTGCCTGTGGTAGTGTCAATTGTGAGCAGAGGTATTGTCACATTACAGCAAATCCAACTACAACAGTCTGCATCTGTATTGACCAGAAAAATAATAGTTATTAAAAATGAAGAGAAGGAGAGCTCTTGTTGGTCAAAGTGATATCAGCATTTGAAGGGAGGAGGCCAGTTAGAGGGAGCTGACCTCCACAAATACACAGTGTAAACACAAGAATGAAGCTGCCACTGAAGACTCTCGCCATTCAGGTTAGTTTATTACTGGCTGTAGAGAATGGCTGCAAATAGGAATGCTGCTTGTTTTTAGCCCTGCAGTGTAGCTGATGACACGACACAAGGCTGTAATGTATGTCATACGAATGTCTTTGCACTAACTTGGTGGTATTTTGAACACAAACAGGTTTCAGGTTGAGGGATATGCAAAGCAGGTATCTTTATCAGTCTGAAGTGCCGTGTCTGAATGTGTGTGTGAACACGTTTGATGCTCAAGATAACACCATCCATGTGTACCCACAGTTCTCAGTACTCTGACTCATATGGGTTATGGGTTAGAAGAAGTGCTAATGTGCATGATAAGGATGTTGTGTTTGTCAGGTTACTGATGATGATTCACAACTTAAACCCCAGGAGGAAATGTGGTAAATCACTTCCATCCCATTCTGTGCACTGAGAAACGGTCTCTGAAATATACAAGGTATAGCAGGGAAATCTCTACTCTAATTTCATTATTTTAAAATTGAGAAAAATCTTTGCATGCTGCAAGGCTTAGCTATCAATATGTAAGCCAGCTGTGAATTAAAGAAAATAACTCTTTGGAGGTGTTACCTGGTATAACACATTTAGAATGCAGTGCTAGATTGCAGTGTTATTACTGAGGCGTAATAACTTCCTCGGCCCGGCGCCATCTACCTTAAGCAATCTGAGAGATCAGTTGCAGCTTTAGTGGGTGGAAGTGGATGAGATTAAGATATCAAAAACAGACAAATGACTGTTGAGATACACATGACAAAAACCGAAAGTGAGTAATACACTTGGTGTTAAGCTCCAACCCACTGCTGAGTGAAACTAATCTTAGTGTTAAGTCGCTGATGTGATCCTCCTAAAGATATTCCCTCACTCTCAGGCCAAATAATTGATTACTACAGTAAGCTGTATGCAGCCCCTAATCTGCATGTTGAACCTTGGATCCACATTGTCTCCCTTTCAAATCTTTTAATCCATGGTCATTTTAGGATCCCTTGTATCCTAAAGCACCTATAGTATATACTGCTTTTTATGGTTGTGTGTCCCAGTACATGATTTTTGAACTAAAAAAAACCAAGCAGCCAAGTTAATATTGTGGTCTAGTCCCTATGCACTGTCACTCATTCACAGCAAAGAAAGATTGTCAAAACAAAGCCTTGTCTTTACCTTGTATCCAGGAAACTTAGAGTGTTGTGCATACACCAATGAGCAGTCATCGAATGGCAAATGGACTGAGCCATCTGCCCGTGAGGATTTTTTCATGTACAAATACAGGCGAACAAGGTGTCTAAGACGGTATTCACACGTGATCTGTTTGCAGTTAACATAGACCACGGTGCATTTGCTCGTTTAGTTCAGTTCATGTTGGCTGGTGACAGCTGAGAAAATCAATCGCACAAACCAGAGGATTTTGTGAAATGGATATGTGGCACATTTTAATTCAGCCATCTGTGAAACAGTGGAAGGATGTGTACAGGACTTGACACTGCTGCTGCTTTTCTGCTATGGTTAACATTGGCAACATAGAAATGGCATCTTGAAAGGAATATTTGATGTCTATTTGGAATGGTTCAGCATCTTTCTGCTCCCAAGTAGTATGCCTGTTAAACTACAAACAGTTGTAGTATCTACATTTGTACTGTCCAATCCAAAACTTGGATAATCCTGGCAACATTCGATTTCACCAAACGCCTCCAGAGCCATAGGAGATGTTACACAAGGGTTTTTAAAGGCTAAGTAGGGCTCTTCATGGCTAATAAATTTATCATGATTGAAATTGACAAAATACATCCAAATTTGCTTTGTGTTTTCTGCAATTGCTGCACAAAACACCTGCCAGGTGACCCTTACACATTTTAGAGCACAAAGTGCACTCTGAAGAAATACAAATACACCTCCCCCACTAAAGAGCATGTTTGGTGGTTAATGAGTTTTCACAAATGTGAATAATTTCTTAGTCCCAAATGCAGCAGCAAACACAGTTTGTGTGTGTGGTACAGGTTGTGTATTTGTAGTTCATCTATCCTTAGCTCAGCATACTCATTAATGTGTTACCATGAATGAAGTACTATCTTTGCATATCACACACAGACACACTCTACCTGCAGACCAGTTTTGTTGTGACTGTGTGGTGCACCTTTTGATTGTGCTGTTTGAAAGGACTGTTGTAGGGACAGATGTCAGGTCAATAACTGTCCCTTTTGATTATGCATGCATGACAGACAGCATTTCAGTTGAACGTGGTTTGTTTGCACACGTTCAGTCGCTGTTACCTTGGCTGTATCTGGAGTGTTTACTCTGTGGGGAACAGAAAATGTGCCAAAAGGAGAAAATATGACAGCAGGGAGGAGGTGCAGACTGAATCCTGAGATTTCAAATGCTGATGTGGCCATTGTGCAGTGCAGCTACAGTTTCACTGAGCTAAATCAAAGGCATTAAATCTGTGTATGGTAAATACAGTTTTAAAGGGTTTTTCCTGGAAATGTTCTTTAGTATTAAAGACTGCAATGAATGACATTATTGCTTCTTGGTGGTGTAAGACACAGAGTTACTGCCAGGTGTGTGCAGACAGGGATTTTGATTTTCCTGGCTTTATACGTTGGCCGTCCTGGTGACACGCACTAGTGCAACATGAGGTCATTCGTTAAGGTGCACTGTTTTCCACAAAGCTGCAGCTTTTCTAGACCTGCTGCTTTTCATTGTTGCTGGATTTGTAAAATTCTGTTATAAGGGTGTAAAACTTCAACTTGTCTTGAAAACCTAAATTTGATATATTTTGTACTGAGCTGGGTTTGCTCCACTGCGGACTATGCTGCTATGTCATGACCAGCGTGTGAACAGGCCGTGGTGTTGGCTTTATTAATCCAAGCGCCACAGAGAGCCGGGCAGGACTAAAGACAAGGGAATTTCTGGAATTTAGACCAAGTCTAACACTGCTTCAGACAGTGCCACCAAACCTGTACGTGAGTTGACACGTCCTAGGCGGGCAATGTTTTCAGTCACAAAGGTTTTAGCGATACTGTACTAGTAACCAGTCACCAGACTGTGTAAAGTCATTGTGGTATATGGCCAACTATTGTCTCCCCTGAAAGCAAAGGTCAAAGTTAATTGATGTCGTTTACGATATTTGTGTCCTTTTAGTTTGGCGTTCTGGTTGCAAAAGCTGTTGGAACTGCTTAAGACTGTTTTAATTCATGCATTGTGTAACTTTATCACAGTGAAAGATATAAATTAGGTTCATACTTTCGATTTGCTCTAATTAATATTACATAACTTACATCAGTATCATGACTTATCTACTTTTACTTTGGCTCGTACTTTTTTGTCACACCAGACATGGCAGCAAAAGACACAGGAGTTCATAATGTTACAAATGACTACATTCCATTGAAGTGAGCTAGTTCCATTGTGCCGTCCTGGTCACTGTCATAGGACACCTATTGGAATATAGCTATTGTTAACAAATTTTGCCTCAGCTAAGGCAAGTCAAAATACCTGCTGTGAAAAAAATCAGCTCTAACTTCATGATCGGTTGATCCCAGGATGGTACTCATCATGTAGCACTGTCACAGGAGACATTAAGTAATATTGCTCTTTATCCATACTGAGTCTTCGATCACTTCATAATACAAACACACACACACACACACACACCTCTGTTGCTAATGCTAATGCTTACACTTGGATTATTTTTGTATGCAACACTGAAATCCATTACTAATGTGATAAGTCCATAACAGCTACAGATAAGCTTTGTGTTTACACTGACATGACAGGTGGGGATAGGTTTTATTGTGGCACGTGCTAAAGGGCAATCATGCTGCATATCAACTGGCTGTTGGACTGTAGGTACTCTACATGACAGCGTTTATTCTATCCTGCCATTTCTCACATTGCAGAAAATTTAAACAGTGGTTACTTCTTTACGCACTCTTACATTACTAAAAGTTATACATATGTCCCTCTACCACTTTGTAATCTAGGAGAAGAAATGCAGGAATTCTTCCCAGTTTGGAGGATTTGCTCTTCTACACAGTCGCAGAAGGTCAAGAGACGATGCCTGCTCACAAATTCCTCACAGTAAGTCCTTTAAATTCAGTTCAGCTTGGTGGTTTGTGGAAGTACTAACACCTGTCTTAGTGGTCACATACACCTGAGCATGGTGGCAACCACACGAGCATTGCACCAAGTTGTGTCTGAACTTTTGGTTGTTGCTCATACATGGTTTCAATTCATGAGGTTTTCATAAATATTTCTTTAACGCATTTGTCATAACATCCAGTTATATTTTTTGTTGCTTCCATTCTGTTATTTCAGGCACTTAAAGCCACTGGGCTTCGCACTGGAGATCCCCGACTGAAGGAGTGCATGGAAACCCTCAAAGAAACTCTAAAGAACACTTCAGATGGCGTTACACTGGACAGGCACCTGTTCAAAAAGTAGGGCTAATCGTGTCTTGTTTGCATGTTTCATCTCCACCGACATTAGTGACAATTTCTAATCATGTTTTTCAAGGACCTGCACTCACTTCGGTCTCATTTTGATAAACCTATGTTTTTTACTAAACAGATTTATACTGTCATGTTTAAATTTGCAAAATACAAAAATATATCCATCAAACAGCATTTCAGGATCCATCAGATCCCACTATTCCTTAATGGAGGAAGAATCAAACCAGTAACTGTAATGTATAGTTATGCAGTATTTTACTGAGGTTCTCTGTATTTATTGTGGCATCCAAATTAGTAGAATCTTGATGAAATACATATGACACTGATATTTCTGTGTGTCAGACACCAGATTTTTTAACACTGCAATGGCTTGTTCTCTTCTAGTAGCTACTGGATACATTTTGATAGAACACACTGGATTGTACTCAGGAAAACCACAATTTCCTTCCTTCCTTTCTTCAAAAACCTAGATCGGGGAGTTGATCTACAACAATTTAGTTTCACTTTTTCTACTGTGTGTTTTGTGTCAATCTTAAAAACAAAACAGTAGTTTGTGGGATTTTGGGGTTTGTTTGTGTGGTTCACACTGGTGTCTGAGGCAGTCAGAATCTGTCATGGTGGTTAACACTCATTTGTCTGTAGAAGCTACCTCTACTTGGTCCAATTTTTTGGTTGGTTGGGTTTTTTTGGCTCTAGTGACCAAAAATATGAGCATCAGCATCTGTGATACCCTGGATAATGATGTTCAAGGTTTTCTACAGTCAGTGAAAACTACCATTCATCACTAAATGGATTCATGTTGGATCCAGCCACATGGATAAAATAAGAAGCGGATCAAAATGTGATGATGAAGCTTCTTTATCAAACACTTCTGTTAACATTCACAGAAGTTTGTCAGACTTCAGGGTTGCAAACTTGGTTGACAAACTTTACCTTCAGTTGCATGCAGTCACAGTGTTTTAGCATGCTATTTGTGGTTTATTCATCAGGTGTGTCCAGAGCAACATTGTCCTGCTCACTCAGGCCTTCCGCAAGAAGTTCGTCATCCCAGACTTCCAGTCCTTCACCTCCCATATTGATGAGCTGTATGAGAGTGCCAAAAAACTCTCTGGAGGACAGGTGTGTCCTTAGATCCATGATTGTTTTTCCTCCCAGTGCATCCTAAATATTATTTGTTGCATACAGATTCATTGCCATCAGTGTGTTTGGACAGTCTGGTTTCAGTCTGCATTCAGATGGTATCAAAGGTGTAGATCAGTCTTTGATTACATATCCGGAATGGAAGCCGGCGCCACACTGATCTGATCACTGCATCAACAAACCGTCATCTTGCTCATGAAGGAAAAAAATCCACCCTTAAACATGTTAAAAGTATCATTGTGGTGTTCTTGGCAACAGTCAGCGAGCTGCTGCTTTCACACGTGAGTGTAGGATTCTCTTTGACTGCACCTTTCTGTTTGTTGAGTCATCTCTTTGGTGCTCGCTGCAAAAAATGTTCAGACGTTTAAAAGGAGTGCTGCAAAATCATAAATATAATTGAATAAATGGCAGTGATTCAGAGATTATGTAACTCTGTCACAGTGAAACTCCTGCTTTCAACAGAAACGCATGCGGTGAATCAGTGTGTAGTGGAGGTAGTGCACACGGTAGTTTACACCTTCATAAGACCAAGTGAAGGGGTTGCAGTCACAAAATGGATGAACCCATCTCATTTCAAACATTTGAATTGTGAATTTAGAAAAAGCACTAGTGGAATTAGGAACATCATTGAAGCTATATCACAGACACCTCTTGTGTCATGCTGCTTTGCTTTTATTTATTTCAACAGCATTAAATTCTGATTTGATCATGAGTCATGCAATCGTGCTTAGAAATACTACCTGTTAAGCAGGCAAACAGTAATTCAATTACATTTCTGCACTATGATGTGGATAGTATTATTTTCCAGAACTCTCTTTTCCACTTATGCACTACAAAAATATTTTTTACAAAAATCTATTTCCAGATGTTAAAAGCAACTACTTAACAAAGTAAAAATGGAGAGAAAAATCTGTTTTCAAGTACAGTCATCATTAGCCTGAAAGAAAAAAAGAATTACTTTAACTGAAATAGTGTTAGTCAACATAGATAAACAAAAAAAACATGCTCTCCTAGTTTACCTCGTTTTCATATGCGTGTCTGAGGGTGGATTAGTCCTTTCTTGTCTGCAGATGAGGATTTGACCTCGGTCGGTGTTGTTATTGTGCTTTGTCAGTGGTGTATGGCTTTCCATTGAAGCCTGAGCCTCAGCAGACGTCAGTGGTGTAAGGTGACCTGCTGTGGTGCTGACAGTCCTTTAACTGCCTTATCTCTCTTTCAGGTTGCAGACTACATTCCTCAACTTGCCAAATTCAGCCCTGACCTGTGGGCAGTCTCTCTGTGCACAGTTGATGGACAGAGGTGAGACAAAGTCAAAGGCAGGACATATAAATAAAGGGATTAAAAGTATATTTTTGATTTGTAGCGCATTATTGTTTTATTATTTGCTTGATGTTTCTCAGTAAGCATTATAACAACAGCTTTTTTCTGCTGTGAGCATTCCTGTGTGAAATCCTGCTTCATGCTGGTTAAAAATTTACCCAATGGTATCCAGTGATTTCAGTAAGGACTGCTAACAGGCCTTTTGTATTTTAAGTGGAACAACCGAAGACATTGTTTAGGAGTTTTATTTATTCATTTGAGCAAATCATTACATTTCAAAAGTTCATTTTATCAGTGTTTAGATGGTAAAATGTGACTATTGTGATTAATGATCTACACATGCAGGGGTAAGCTTAACTCCATGTCCTGAGATTGGACAGAATAAAGTGAACAACTACAATGAAATGAACTTGGTCTACTTTGAAACTTGCAGTGTTCAAAGTATGTTTTAGAGAATACTATTGATTTAACTTCGCATTTTTATTTATTGTAGGTCAATACAGTATCATCTACAGGTGGTGGGTTTTATGTATAAAGCCACTTGTGTTTTCTGGAAAGCACAGAACTAGTACAAAGGGACAGTCACCCAAAGTGTTGTTGGATGATGTCAGCAGGTGTTTTGAGCAGCCTGTTCTCTGATAGGCAGCTGTAACTTTCCATATCAGTGTATTTGTTATGTTTGTAGAACAGCGGAAGTCGTAAAGATAAGAGAGTTATGTTATTGTGCTGCAACACTGGTGTAACTTGAGTTTATGGTTTCCTGGAATACTGACACATTATTCCATGAATTAGCAGTGATGTTCTTATTAATTGTTATGAATTAATAATAATTACCTCGTTTGTTTCCGTTCTGAATTAATTTTTTAAATAATTAAAATATATCAATAATGTGATCTTTTTGCTTTTGCAGACACACTGTTGGAGACACCAAGGTTCCCTTCTGTCTGCAGTCTTGTGTCAAGCCTCTGAAGTATGCCATTGCTGTTCATGACCATGGCACCGAGTATGTCCACAGTTTCATTGGGAAGGAGCCAAGTGGCCTCCGCTTTAATAAGCTCTTCCTGAATGACGAGGGTGAGATTTCAGTTTTCTTTTTTTTTCCTCTTCCTTTACATTTATGAAGTCTGCTTTTGTGAGTGTCTAAGGAGCTCAACAGCCCATCAATCCATTATCTATACACCACTTAACCCTCTGTAGGGTCGCAGGGGGCTGAACTCTATCCCACCTGACTTAAGGTGAAGGCAGGGTTCACCCTGGACAGGTCACCAGTTTATCACAGTGTTATACAGAGACAGACGACCAAGCACACTCACATTCACACCTACAGACAATTTAGAATCACCAATTAATCTCAGCATGCTTTTGGACTGTGTGGGAGGAAGCCGGAGAACCCGGAGAGAACCCACGCAGGCACAAGGAGAACATGCAAACGCTGTGCCTCCCAGCTCAAAAACCTATACGCACAATTTTCCCTCCTCAAAATAATGCAGTGGAGACCTGATGTAGGGTTGATAATATGTTGTGACAGCAGAGGCCCTGTGGGATTGAACTTCATACCGTAATTGCATCCTTCTGTGCAAACTGCTAATAACACTAACGGCAACAGTTTTAATACTTATTTGTTGGTATGTGTTCTATAAACAAGGGCCTGAGCTTATTAAATGCAATTCATGGAACGTTTATTAAAGAGGCATGCTTTTCATGCTTTTCTCCCACTGCATTTTTTGCATTTTTCCCCAGAGTGCTATTGCTACATTTCCCCATGACCCCAGTGATTCTTGGTGAGGCAGTCTGTCACTACGTACCGAGAGAGTTACTCATCAGTGCTGATCGACTGTCTAGCTCTAGCATCAGGGAGAGAAAGAATGGGAGCTGTGACTAAGCTGCCAAGTGAATGAGTCAGATGCTGGCATTAGAACTACTTGTGCACACTTTTGTTGTTTTTCTTGCTTTAGCAGGAATGTGAAAATGCACATTGTTGGGTTAAACTGATGGGAGTGGCTACCTACTACATGTAGGAAGATGAACAGTCATCAGAGTAGTGGCTGTGCTGTGAGAGGAAATGCCACAACCCCGTGGCTGCAGCTTAACTTGCTGACCTCTTATCGTCACATCCTGCGTGGGAATTTTGCCCATCTTCTACCAGGGTAGCCTTGTGGTTGTACTGTTGTGTAAGAGGATCACACACCAGCAGGGAAATGTAGGTGATGTAAGTGTGAACTCCTTTTAGAGATCACAGGGAGGAGAACTTCCTCAGTTGTCATGGATATTGCACGGCATTGCTGCAACTAAAGGGAGCATCAAGTAAACTTCAGGGGAGAATGGCAGCGACGATCTCCTCTGTCAACTCTCTTGTTGGGGTCAGGAGTCTTACAATGTCTCCAGCTTGCAAATGATTTTAAAGAATACATGACTTTATTATAATACGTGTGTTTTTTCTATAGCTAAAAATAAGTGTATTTGGTACGCCAGCTCTGGATTATTTTTGACTCTATGCCACTTGGTGAACACAGATAACCATCCTCCCCCACATCTCCACACATTGGAAGCATGATACTCCTGCCTGGCCAGAGAGGGACTGTAATAGTTTCTTTAATGTGTACATACACGTTTTTCTAACGAGGATTTGTTATGTAGCATGTGTTGTAAGAGTCAGTTTTGGTGCAGGCGCAAAGCTCAGTTTAGACATACACATACCAGAGATACAGGAACAAGTTGGCACACAAACTGTCAGCTTGCAGCCCAAGCATGTTCCAGAGTTGACAGACATATGAACATAAATATTTGGTCACTTTCCATCCAGCTTTCCAATGCAAAAAATATCCTGCAGTTTTGTTTACGCTCCAATTAAGGCAGCACTTGTTGTCTGTAATATCTTGAGTCAATGTGTGCTACTTGATTCTCAGTGTTTGATGTGTCTATATACAGAGCTCTCACAACGAACGTTTGCACTTTGATCCTCTATAGCATGCTAACTGAGCTCTTGTTGTCTTACAGATAAGCCCCATAACCCCATGGTGAATGCTGGCGCTATTGTTTGTACTTCACTGATAAAGGTAAAAGCAGTCACACTTTTTTTTCCCTCTCCTTCATGTGTTTTTAGTCTGTGTGTCATTTCCTCTGAAACCTTAGACGAGAAAATTCCTTGTATGGTTGGTATCACTGAACCACTTTATCAGGTAGATAAAATGAAGGTTAAGGTAAATATTGGTCGCAGATAAGACTTGACTGTTAGCAGTGGCCTAATCAACCCTTTCTGTTTGTTTGAACACATCAAAACCCGCTGAAGAAGACTCACAAAAAATAACAATATAATAACAATGATTTAACACCCTCTCCTCACTTGTTAAACCATTTTTTGACACTCTTTATGATTTTGCTGTATCGATTCAGTAGACTATAGAGTTTGCTTTGTGTTGAGATATTTATGACGCTTGACTCAAAGTATTTCTAGGTCACTACCTCAGTCCCCTGCCATGTGTCTTGTTGTGGTGATTAAGACTTGTGCTAATCCTTCCTGAAGGGCACTTAGTTGGCCCAGCACACATGCTGTTACTGTCCCTAGCTGAAAATAACCTGTACAGTGCACCAGTCAAATGCAGGTGCGCACACACCAGCAACAGTCTGTTAAAGCCAGATCATAAAAGACAACACAGTTTGGTGTTTTAACTTCTCCTAGGTGTAACCGGTGGTGAGGACAGACTGACAGTATGTAGGCTTTTCTAGTGAGAGAAATGAATCACCCGTCATTCGGCAGCAGCTCACAGTTTTGCCCATAACAGCTTTATGGCTGTTGTTGATCACTCTAAAGTTAATTTTAATTCTTTAACCCTACCAATCTCTTTGCTGAGTTAGTGCTTTCAGTAAATTATTAGCATACACGTGTACTCACATAAGCTGCAACACAGCGTTGGAGTTAGTTTAATTTTCATACATTTTAATAAGCTTCTTTTCACCTCAATGAATTGTGGATTATTTTGTTTATTGCTACATAATTATCAATTCTAAGGATTGGTATTTGCAGCTTTTTCTGGAGGCGACCTCTGTTATACTCAGTTTTTCAACTGTATGACTAATGAAGTGCTTCATCCTTGCTACATTAACATTGTTATTGCAAGAAACAATTCACTACCAAAGCTTTTAGGTGTGATTAGTAGCTTCTACATGACTTGAGGGTAAGCAAGCTACAGAGGAAGATCTTCATAGAGTAATTTAACTTTTGATGGTGCCAAAATCATCTATCCTTTATGTATGTAGAGGCATGCTGACGCATGTAGTCTGTTTGATCGTGATTTGATTTTGGATCACTTAAAAACAATAAGCAACAGAGTAGCTCAGGTCTCTGTGTTTTCAGTGTCCACATGTTGTTAAAATTCCATTCCTTTTTTTTAAAAGTTCTTTTTTTCACCTGTGCCTCTTGTTCATTGTCACCTCTCATATTTAAGCCTATTTGAAATAAGTATAATTTCCTTATATTCTGGATGAGAAGGTTTCAGTGGACAGGGACATCATTCAGGTGCATTGGCATTTACCTGAAAAACATTTCCCCTTTGGATTTTAGGTTGTGCTTTTGTGTCCTGACAGCTTGTCCTACATGCAGTCACGTGAACTGGAATCTACAGTCTTTGTACTGCAAAACTTTGGCAATGTTTGTCAATTTACAGAATACCACCACTTACTGCATCTATTTAAACCGCACAAGAGCCCAAATTGGGCCCAAATGATTTGGGGAAAATATCTAATTGTGTATTTTCTGACAGATATTGCAATTTGATTTGTAGTAGATATTTTTTAAGTATTCCAGCCCAAGTTCAATATTCAGTGTGTTAAAAAGAGAAAGGAGAAAAAAAGAAACAACTGATGCCATCAAAAGCGTTTGACAGACAGAACTGTCTGAAGTTCATAATTCACATTTGGTAGTAGCAGGAGAAGGATTTAGAGCAAATGGTGTCCTACTAAAATAAAAGTTAGTCATCAGAAACAGTTGGCTTTTTTTAAAAGAATAGTTCAACATTTTTGCTTTCTCTACAAAAGAATGAGGAGAACATTTCTAGAAATTTCATGCCAGTGCATTGAAGCTGCCTAATCACAATTAAAACAATGCATTTTTTTATATCTGCAAATGAATTATCCACTGTGTATGATAGAAGTGTCACACCATAGTGACAAGCCTACACAAAAGAATAGACATTAAATACCCCATTGTGCAGCTTCCTTCAGACATATTCATATGTTGTAATCAGTTGATGTTGCTTAATACTCAGCAGGATTCTAGACATTTGGCTGTGTTAACCAAACAACTGGAGGCAGGGGGAAACATTCATCTTATGATGTCAGTTTTAGCACAAGTTGGACAATGTAGTAGTTGAGCAGAGCTAAGGATTTTGATTTGATGATGCTAGAACAGGCAGCCGTCCTGTTACAGCAGGACTCTGGTCACTCCACGATATTGTTGTTTGGCAAGAAATGGCTCCAACAAGTAACTCCCTTGAACACCACTAATATTTTAACCAATGTTTCTGTTTACATACAGATTTATTGTGATCCAATATGCTAAATAGTGAGCCTTCATGTTAATATGTGTGTTTTTTTTAAACTTAGGACAGAGCCACAAAAGCTAGTTTCCCCCTGCTTGCCATACAAATGAATATTACCATTAATCTCTCAGAATGTAGGCATATTTCCTAAATCTTGAGCTATTGCTTAAACACTGATTGGGGTTAGTATGAGGAGAACTATACTGCAATAAGATGAACCAGAAGAACACGTACTCTATTTTTAAGTTATTTGTACATATCTACTTTTTCTGTTCTCTTAGGGTGTCCCCTGCCTACTCCAGAACTTTATAATAGCTGTACTCCTGTGCAGAAGTCCAGTCAGGCAGGTTGCTCAACAGTTTTCTTATTGATTTAGGTTGCCGACCAAGATAGCTATTTTTGCAGGGCGCTCTTCCATCACTCTGAAAACCTGTTAGACTGCCTTCCAAGCTGCAGAGAACAAACCCAGAAATGGTTCAATGACATCCCCTCTCATTTGTTAAGAAGATAATGTGTGTCTGTGTCCATATCAGCTCACCATTGTCATCAGTGTCCTAAATGTGTTGCCTTTTTTTATTATTCTTATTTTTTTAATGAAATTGAAGCACAAATGTCAAGCCGTTGGTCAGGTTACTGAGTAAGCTTTTAACCTCGGTGGGAAATGAGATGGCTGCCCCGGCAGTATGCCCCAAACTGTTATTACATGGTGCTTGAAGGCTACATGTTGTTGCTGTTTTTGTATGTTGCATATTTTCCAGACTTAGGAACTGTGGGAAATAATGACTGCTGCTGCAGGTCAAATGACGTTGGTAATTTTTTCTTCCTTTTCCATATCTATCTCCTCACTCTCTCCCAATCCCCCGATCTCCCCCGTCTTTTCTCTCTTTCTCCTCCAATCAACTCTGTAGAAACCCATTTAGTGACTCTTTAACACCTCCATCAGTGTCACTTATTTTTTTCGTCTGCAGAGTTTACGGTACAACTTAAAATGTACCCTTCAGTCACACATGACTCAATATTTGTAAGGTTAAAAACTCATCCAAATCATAAATACTTCAGTATTTTAAACGTATAAAAAAAAATACGATAGCACTTAAATGTGCATGTGTCCATTTTTCTTTTGCTGTGTTTCTTTCTGGGACTAGGCAGCGACAATGATTTTGTGATTTGATAAATGTACACTGAACTACAAGCTGTGAACTTTATTCTCAGGAAAGCCATTCCTCCCTTTTCCCCTCCTTCTTTTCCCTCTGTTTTTGCTGACAGCCTTTTTGCACAAATGACACCTTTTGACCTACAGTAGATGCACATCTTCAAACACATACATACCCACACCTGCATACACCCATATCTCTGTGCATGTTGTACTTTAAGTAAAAACCTACAGTCCTACAGTCAGGACTGTTAGATATTTCTTTTAATAAATGTTTGTTTCGTTTTGCTATTAGGCTTGACATAATACTGATTACCAATTTGCAAACAATGAGATGCCATAGTGAGATGTAATGATGAAACATAAGCTCTGGCAATGCTCTTGTCTACTAAATCTCCCTTTAACTCCAATAAGACTTCCCACTTTGTAACCCATTCGCAAGCCAATCGCATTAATATTTTTGTATCTCCTGTACTTGTATAACTCCTGGAAAATCTCACTTATGTGATTTTTACATTTTACTTGTAATAAAAAACGATTCATACTTGTTAATTCTGCAGTTTTAATTTGTCAGCAGTATCATTTATCATTTTAGTCTTACAGTTAATGATGCTATGCTTGTCCTCTGCCGTGTCTCTTGGTGAATGAACAGTATTAACTGCTTATTCTTTTTTTCTCTCCACAGCAAGGTGCAGGCAATGCAGAAAAATTTGACTATGTAAGTATTAGTCAGAGCTTCGTGATAATAATTATGAACTAATTTTTTAGGAACTAGCTATGGAGATTCATAGCTAGCTAACCTTAGTGTGGTTAGACTAGAAAAGTGACACCAAGTACAAAAACCTTGATGTTTGACTATGCTGTTGATGTACATTGTTGTCCCGAGGAAAATTAGGGAGCTGCTCACGAAGGCTGTAGTTGGAAAGATCCTTGAAAATAAGGACGTCTTAAACCTTGGAACATTTAGTTTTTTCTTCAAGATTACATTTTAGCTCTTTAATGTTCATCGGTGCATAATTTTCTAATACTATAAAATATAAATGCATTCATTTTGTAAAAACAAACTCTTCTTTCAGCAGCTTCTTTGTCAACGTATGGAATGTAGATTTAGAGTTTCTGTCATGGTCAACAGACTTCCATTTTTTAAACGTATTGACAAACTTGTTGAACTACTCCAAACAAGCAAATAAGAAAATAGCTTTTTGTTCACGGTCTGTCACTTCTGTTACCACTCCAGTGCTATTCTTCAAAAAAGAGATGCTGGACCTATTGTCCTAGTGCAGTAGATTTAAATTTACCAACGGCCAGCAAAGTGCTTCTTGTGTGTGTTTTTTTTTTAGGGTCATAAGAGTACACAGATTGCTAAATCAGTATAGTTTGACACTTATGTGTAATACATACCATTACAGTTTGGAATTGGCACACAACTCCTGCAAATGTGAAAAGAAACACCAGGCAGGCCACAGAGCGTTCAAAGAATTTAACCTCTCGCCATGAGCTACTGTTGATCATTGTGTCACTCCTAAATCTTCTGCTGTGTTCCCTCCAGGTCATGAACTTTCTGAAAAAGATGGCGGGAAATGAGTATGTGGGTTTCAGCAACGCCACGTAAGTCCCCCTCTGAATCACTTGTTCTGTTTTCAGAGTTTCTAGGTCACCTCTTAAATTTACCAGAGGGAAATATGTATCGACAAACTGGCTCAGAGGTAGTTCAAGAAGTTTTCTAAACCTGTTTGAGGCTGGTACAAGTGAAAAAAAAACACAAAAAGGTAGCAATAAACAACTGGTAAACATTTCTCTTACATTAGTTGCCAAGGTTGAATCCAGCCCAAAGTTATATGTTGACTGCCAGGACTTGTAAGCTTTCCAATGAAACTGAAGTAGAATTAAACGGCATACACATCCAGTTGTGGGAATTAAGTGACATCACTAACCTCATGTAACAGTTAGAATATAATTATAGGTGTTCGATGTCACTCTCAGTTTTAGCAAATTGGTCAAAAGTACATGTTGGACCCTATACCCACATTTGATTTGTAATGACCTTTTTTAAGGATAAGGACCAGAGTTGGCATCTGTGTTTTAAAGTTCACTTGCATGATATATGACAGCATTACATGCTAGCAGGAAAAGATCAGGAGCTCATGTTGCAGTATCATCACATGATCGCACGAGAGCTCTGGTTGTACTGTACACACGATGGGTGGGGTCATGGAATTCCAACACAGAAATACAAGCACACACACACACACACACACACACACACACACGCCATATTTCCTTCCACTTTGTAATGGGAGTGCTCTGCTCTTTGTGTGACAGATTCCAGTCGGAGCGTGAGTCAGGGGATAGGAACTTTGCCATCGGCTACTACCTGAAAGAAAAAAAGGTTTGACCTTGGATGTGTCATACGTTGTATTGCTGACTTTGTTTTCCGTTGGTGTTTTACTATCCTGAGAACCTGGAGAGCCAAACAAAAAAAATAAACACAAAATTGACTTCCTTGTACATTTTCATACATCTTTTCGGAGGGTGTGCAGATTAAACTTTTTTTTTTTTTTTTTTAAATGAAACATTAATGTCCATCCTCGTGTGTCTGCTTGTCTAAAAGTTTGTCTGAGTAGTTTATTGCCAGAAGGCCAATGAGTAATATTCTTCACCATCTAAATTAGACATTTTCACATATATATAATTGAGAATGTTGAATTTTTAAAGAAATAGCATTGTTTGCTTCAACTGACTGTAATTGTCAAGTGTACATTTGCCTTTTACTGGAATAAGCTGGACTCAAATGAACTTTAATTAGAACAATTTGTTTTTCACCAAAGGCAGAGGTTCTTTAACCGTAGGAAAACTAGGTGATGTCTTCCTTACCTAGAAATGCAGGAATCTTGTTTTCGCCAGGTCTTACCACAATAACAGGTGCAGATTCAGTAACCGATTACGTCGTCTTCACCCTGCTTCACTGACCTCTTAAAAGCGTTTGACCCTTTGCTGAACGCCGACCTTATAAGCAGAACTGAGACTGTTGGACTCATGTTGTTGACGCTCAGTCAAGCAACAGGTGCAGGGCTTTATTCTTGCTCTATTACTGTTTGCAATATGCATAAATAACATCTTACTTTTTCCTACTCTGTGCTTGAGTGTCCTTTTTTCCAACTAATTTAATTTTCCTGGTACATACATCATTGTCAATCAACAGTGAATTAATTTATAGCACATATAAGCACATTGCATGCAGATCCTACACTGATATTGCTGTTACAGGCCACTGTTTCCCCACTGGGATACAGGAATGCTGTTCTAGGTCTTTGAAGCTTGACTTATGTGTGCTGGCCAGAGGTCATTAAGCATCACAGAAGATTTTGCCATGGTGCCACTTTAGAAGCTAAACCCCCACAATGCTTTTTGCTTTGTGGACAAAAATGACAAAACAGCTTGATAATACATAATCTGAGCATGCACAACACTGCCCACGTGGCGTCGTGGTGAACCCTCTAGCAGACCCTAGTGTACTCGCTGATACTGAATGTATAACATTGGCTCTACAGGAAGAAAAGAAATATCCATCTCACAGTAGTCGACTGTTACTACTACTGCGAGGCAGCTTTTGAAATGCCTTGCAGTTGTGTTCATATTTGATTTATTACCTACAGTACACAATCCAGTATCTGCCCAACCTTAGATACCCTTGTGTCCTCCCTAACCTTGGAAGAACTGATCTCAGGTGCTCTGAGTTTTGACATGAAATGAACTGCAGACTGTCTTCCAGTTGGATTCTTCTAGAGAAAACTTTAAAGCTTTCTTATCTGAGTTTTTTATGACTTGTCATAAAAACAAAACCAAAAACCTGTTTTGTTTTACCCTGATTAAAATGGTGCGTGTTCTCACGTCTGTCTTTAACAATGAGATCTCAACTGCCTGCTGCTTGTTTTGAACGCCTGTTGTTTCTCTGCAGTGTTTCCCCGAAGGGACAGACATGACATCTGTACTGGACTTCTACTTTCAAGTGAGTGTCATTTTTGTCTGTTTATAAATTTTAATGACAGAAAGTGTTGTTCTGCTTCGTGTTAGCTCTGACTTTGTTATTGATTGTGTCCTTGAATGTCAGACCCTGACTAGATCCAGTCTCTTCTTCCAGTTTCAGCCACATATTAGTTTCTTTCTGTCAAACCTGTCCTTCTTCCATGATGATTCCCCTCTATAGCTTCGTCATCGTATACAGATGTTACTCACAGCCTGAACAACTGTAGTCATGGAAATATCATGCAATTGAGATACTTTTTTTATTTATTTTTTTAATGTAGCCTAGTTTAGGCTAAATACTTCCAAAAAGTATTCTTTGATATGTTGCCTTACAGTCTCTAATACTGTAGGTGTTTCTACGTAGTGACTGTGGAGGAATATGATTCACATCATTTTCATCAAGCCAACTCAACTTTCATATTCCTGCTCCCACATCTCCATTACTCGCTTTGTGTTACAGAGGCATGCTGTGCTGAAAATTGTTATAGAACAATAATGCAAATTGTCCTTGATGTGCTCCTTCAGCTGTGCTCCATTGAGGTGACCTGCGAGAGCGCCAGCGTCATGGCAGCCACCCTGGCCAATGGCGGTAACTGCCCAATCACGGGCGAGCGTGTGCTGAGCCCCGAGGCGGTGAGGAACACGCTGAGTCTGATGCACTCCTGCGGCATGTACGACTTCTCAGGACAGTTTGCTTTCCATGTAAGTAGTTTTACAAGAATGCAAGTATGAACCTGTCTTATTACTGAAGGGAATGACTCAAAGGTACACTCACAAGACTGGACACTGATAACCCTGCAGTGTCCTAATCATGAATTCATCTTTCAGTGTTTTTAAAAATTAAAAATTATACAATATTCTCATGCATGCTAGAGTCAAAACATGCACAATAGCTGTGCTTACGTGGTGGTAGGATAATATCCAACCATAAAATAACACAGGCAATTGATTATAATTGCAGAACACCAAGAACTTCTTTGTTGTCCTCTTTAGGTGAAGCTTCTTAATGCCAGGTGGTATGAAGCAACCACAGTAGTTTCCATGATTACATTGTTTATGGCTTTTTCATGCCAGGTGGTATGAAGCAACTGCAGTGACTTCCATGATTGCATTGTTTGTTGCTTTAAGATTTGTTTTTGCCAGAAATGTTGCCTAATAAAGCATTTAGCTGCACATTAAACCAAAGACAAACATGTTTCCTATATTTAAATAGTACAATGTGATTTATTAAACAAGAAATTTCAAAGGAACTTGTGCAGTAGTGGTACAGTAGAGCATTAGAAAGACTTGCATATACACATGTAGCAATAGATTTACAAACAGATGGTGCAACCTGATCTTCTGCAGGCAGGTTGGCTATTATTTGCATTTGATGTACAGCTTGAATAACCTCAGGCCAAAGTGTAATGGGGAGCTTTCACTTAGAGTTATCCGTTAACGGAGAGTTAAAGTTGTAGGCCTCTGGGACTATTAATCATAATGACATGGTTTATCACACCGATCAAGCGCAAAGTGATTTAAAATACTGCTGATACAGCGTGTTTACTGTGGGGGCATACAGGCTTGTATCAAGAGACAAGAACACCTACATCAGCGGAGGTGTTTGTTGTTAAAGGATGCCACATTTTAATGAGACATATTCTGATGGCAGAGAAATGTAGAGAAAATAAGCAATGTGTGGAAATATCTCAAGGGTGTAAATTCTCACGTTTAACTGCAGTTCACAGAATGAGACTCAGTGTGCTGTATTGTTTATTGCTCTTGGCATTCTCTGTTGGAGTTAGTAAGGGCTGGATTTTGGAAACAGTGTTTGCTTCTTAAAGGGATAGTTTAGTTTCTTTGCAGTGGATTGTATGATTGCATAGTCGGTGCATTACTTACTGGCCAGCACGCTCCCAGTTTGGACAAGCAGATAGGAGGATTTGCATGGAAGTTATGCAGTGAACCACTATGGGTGGGGTCAGCAGCAAAATGTATTTAAGCCATCGGCCTGCCTTAAAACAATGTACGCTATATTTAGATTATTTTACTTTACATACAGTCAGACAGCCCTTTGTGACGAGGAAACAAAGCTGTTGTATTGCTCTCTTCAACACTCAAACATTCACTGTTGACAAAACACTAATTTTGATCTTGCAAGACACAGGAGTTGCTGGTCTACTGCTGTGTGGTTTTAGTGTTTTAACATGTTAATTTGGATCTAAATGCTTCGAACCCTAAGGTCACAGAGTAACACAAATAAACTAACTGATCTTGGCAGCATTTGACCAGCAAAGTTACAGCCACTGTTTCTGTCAGCAGTCTAGTGACTCTGATTAGACCACAGATCCCCTTCAAAAAGAGAGGTATGATGGCAAAGTAACTGTAAAAATAACCTAAATATAGTGTACACCGTTTTTTTTTTTTTTAGCTGGCTAATATACATTTTGCTTAAATTGTCCTCTGTGGCACATTGCATGCTGGTCTTTCTGTGTGCTTCTTCAAACTGTGGGCATGCTGACTGCCTTCTACTGTGAGTAATACGCTGACTATTGATAAGTATCTCTTCCAAATGCATATTAAAGAAACCAACGTATCCCTTTAATCAATGTAGAAAAAAAAGGACGAGCAGAAATGTTACCCTCTTATCTGGAATATGTTTGTAAAGAAACGCGTCCCTTTGCCTTAATTTTAAGTGAACAACAAACAAATGCTGATTTAAAGAAAATCTAAATATTTTTGGTTGTTAAGTTTTGCAAAGAATCTTCAGTTTCTTGCGAAATAATGCAGATAAGAATCAGGTTCCTGTAACTATTAAATTATTGAAGCTGTGTCCACTTTCTTTGCTGATTTTCCATTTTCAGCATTGTGTCGCTGCCATGCTGCGACTGTAGACTCACACAGTCGAAATTCTGTTATGCAACTGTTATGTCTGTTGTCCCTGTTGTAGGTCGGTCTGCCAGCCAAGTCTGGAGTAGCAGGGGGCATCCTGCTGGTTGTGCCCAACGTGATGGGTATTATGTGCTGGTCGCCTCCGCTAGACAAACTGGGCAACTCTGTCAGAGGAATACAGTTCTGCACGGTATGTAGTGTCCAGAAAAAGACGACTGTATCACTGCAGTGTACATTCGCTAAGACTAAATACACAGTCAATGCAAAAACTGGCTGAATTTGTATATTTATCTGTGTGCATAGCAGTGGTAAAAGCAATCCAGCAGTATTATAACATTACTGCAGTATTGTTTGTATTCATCTTCTGCTGAAGTAACAAGTATCCTTACATCATATAAATGACTTGGTTTACTTTATCTCCTTTTTTCTATATAATTCTGTTGTTGTTGTTGTTATATACACTTTATATTTAGTGGGCTTTAAGTAATAAGTAACAAGAAGTAAGAAGTGTTTGTACACAAAATGACAAAAGTGTGTAATGATATAGGTCTCAGTAAACAAGGTGCAGGAATCAGCATCTGTCGCTTATGTAATCAGATTACTTTCCCCCATTTTTACAGGAAAGCTCATGTACTTTTTCATACTTACTACTGACCTCATTGGCTTTTTAACTTCATTTTACCATCATCAGAATGAAATATCACCGATAATATTAGAGAGTAGATGAATATATTTACCTTTTTTAGTTAACCGTCTGCGTTTCCATTTCAGGACCTGGTGGAGCTTTTTAACTTCCACAACTATGACAATCTAAGGCACTTCGCCAAGAAGCACGACCCTCGCAGAGAAGGAGGGGAGCAGCGGGTAAGGACACACGACGTCTTGTTGTGAGAGAAAAACACACAAACTCCTTTTACCCATTTGTTTCATCAGACCCATAAGGCAGCACATCTTCTCTCCAGCAAGCCAGGAGGATGCTTTAGCTAAGAGCTGTTTTGAATTCTGCATTAGTTGACCTCCATACTTGTACATATAATACAACTAAACTGAAAAATGACAAATTCATATCACAAGAGCAAAAGGGGATAATGCATGTCCCATTTCTCTTTGGGGTGTGCTGCCACTCGGTTGGAATCCTTGTGGAGGTCACTGCATTTGTTTTCTGCCATAGTCAACATATAGCCACATAGCCACCTTTTAAAGTGGGTGGATTTTGTTCAGCTTGCTGCACATTATGTGTATATTGTGTAATAGTCGTACGGAACTAAAGTGTCTGCATTTGTTATAACAAAAGCAGGCAACTGATGCTTAACACGTATGTGGTAAGTCACTGGCTTTCTCAGATATATGATAAAACCACATGCTGATGAAAAAGTAGCCCCAAATTGGGGGAAAAAAAACAACATGTTTCAGCACCTGCCATATTTGAAGTGCTGAAACTTGCATAATGAAATAATGCCAATAAATGATTACTGGTTTTCCAAAAGTGTTGCAGCAAACCACAAAGCACACATACATCAGAAACACAGAGGCAGCGAGACTAATTTGTTATCCGTGTCGATTGAAACAGCAGCACTCCTTTGGACCCATGGATTACGAGAGCCTCCAACAAGAGCTAGCTCTGAAAGCCCCTCTGTGGAAAAAGGTGTCTCCCACTGAGTCGCACCAGGACAGCTCCACCACTGTAGTCTATAGGATGGACAATGCCGGCAAATGAAAACTTTAAAACAGTAAAAAGGAGAGCCCGCACCCCCACCTCGCCTGATCTCTCTCCCCACCTCTTGCAACAACAGCACCATCTTTCCTCACTCTCAAATATTTATATATAAATTATGTAGAGGGTTATTTATTGCTTGTGAAGCGGTTACTGAGTGAACGGACTGGGAAACTTGTTCTCTTTTTATTCGTGCTGGGATGAGCTACTGTTTATTTTTGCTCTGAATTTCAAATGAGCCTCCACCTCCTTGTTGCCTTAGCGGTTCTAGCATCTGATGTACAGTGTACAGGTTGTGCTCTTTTTGTCACCTTAATCCCTTTTATTGCAATCTAGTTTGTTTTATTTCATTTTGACAGTCTTCTTTAAAGGGTTGCTTTATGAAATTCAATTTTAACTTGGGGGAAGAAAAAAAAAAAGAAAAAAAAAAAAAAAAAAGAAATGCAACCAAAAATAAAAAACACGTCTGAGTGTGTTTGCATGTGTGCAGCCAGCCTTTAGACCAGCAGTCTTTAAACAAACATTCAGACTACTTCATAGGAATGACTGCTTACTGTAGCTCACACTGAGGCCTAAGGCTCAAGTAAAATTAGCACACAAGTACAGATGAGCAGTGTGTGATCAGAATGCCTGCATAGAGGCGTTTATCGTTTAGCTGTGAACACATGGGCCAGAGTGCAACAGTGTTTGGATGGGTTTCCCAAAAATGAGTTCTGACTTTTAAAGGGATTTTATTAAGGCAGATGTTTTTGCTGTTGGAGTCTTACATGATGCACCTTGAAAGGAAAATTCAACCGCAAACCTAAAAGCTTGTTTTAGTCACTATCATGATAATGCAACCTTTTTTTAGCCTTCTGACACACATTTGCTGTGAACACAGATGACTGAATTGAGTTGGAACCACCCCACTACTATAGTTTCTTGATATGGATAAAGATATCTGGAACTTATTCTGCACATTTGTATATGCTGGAATAGTTTTTCATACTAAACATTCGAATGGATAACTCGTTTGTGCCACCCTGTATGTCTTTATTATCAGGAATAGAATGCAAAATAGATGTTACTGAACAACTGGCAAAACGCCAGAGTTGTGTGAACTTTGGCGTCTAAAACACAAACACTCAAGGCTGACAGACCTGTGGTTTGATGGCATGTTGACAAAGATAAAAAGGCAGTAAAATAGGCTTTTATCTTGAGCTGAATCCGTCAGTGTTTGTGCCTGGACCACATTTGGGATCGACTTTGCGTGAGTATGATGTGTTTGTTGATTCCATGCTAACAAAGAAAGCTTTGCTCTGCCAAACAGCATAGGAGGAAGGTGAGATGACTAAAGCATCGGATTTTTAATGAGGCGTCTTGTGAAAACTTGACTCAGTTGTCCTTTCCTACCTGCCAGCACTCTCAGGAGCAGCTGTTTAGAGGACTGCTGCAGTTTTTTGCAGTTCTGTTGAGTGTAGATGGAAAAAAAAAAAAGGTCACATGTGTGCGTGTGTGGCTGATTTTTTTTCCATGTTTTTCTCTTTTAGTGAATATACTCAGTATGATGCTCGTGGGAGTGGTGGTGTTCACTGCTGCTAACCAGTTACCTCCAGTTAAGGCCCCTAATGGCTCTGATAGGTCTGAACAGTCCTGACACAACCTTTAACTTGTCCGCTGTGAGCAGGTGACTGCAGGGTTTATCTGGGCTGCATTCCAAAACCATTACTGCATGTTTGCACAGTGCACAAAAACATGCACGTGTTCAAACATGATGCCTTAGTCTAGAACATTAACCTACTTTCTACATGAAGGCTGTACATTTAAAATAAAGCAGCGATTGATATGACCAAGGGTTTAAAGCTTCTAAGAAATATGTTTTTATTTTTTATTTTTTCGTCTTATCTGTTACTAAAACACCCTTTAGATTCTTTGAAATTCAGAACACAGAGCAGCAGATGAAACTAAGTTTGATGCTCGATGCTTTTATGTGCCTGAAATGTAATTTGGCAAAAATAAAATGGCACATGCCAAAGGTTGGCATAAAAAAATGTTTGAGATTTGTTTGCATATTCTGCTATTAGCTTTAAATCAAAATTGAGCAGAAAGGCAGTTAGCTCTGCATGAAATGCTGCATTAAAGGCATAAAGTAATAAAGCAGATGGAGACTGCGTGACGCTGTCAGAAGCTCAAAAACTTTGTCGACTGAAATGTCAAGGTCTGGCAGCTTTAATCCAGTGTGTACGCTTCAAAAAATTATGTCCTTTTCTGTCATAGAGCTAAATAATGTGCAAAAAGTCACATTGCAGTTATTTTAACAGATATTACCATTGCAATATGAGTCTAAAGAGGAAAATTGAAGGACTCTGTCATGTTCTGGATGATCTATTTCACCATTTTCTGAAGTTTTATTGCTAAATTGTGACCAGGGGTTGTCAATTTTAAATTTCTTCTACCATTGTAGGTCACATTAACTATCAGTAGTAGGTAAAAGTTAAATGAATGACAGACGGTAGTCATTTTACAATTTGCTCAAATTGGCAATCAGCAAACACACCTGTAACTCCATCTTAATAAACAGCAGGCGAGTCGAGCTAGTGGTGCTACCGCTAATCTGTAAGACTGCACATCCCTCATCTTCTGCTATATTGGTTAATATATTTTAAAAGATAAATTATCAACAACTATAAAACAATAATACACCATTAGTGTCATTAGGCATGACAGTAGCTGGTAGAGTAATAAATCAATTGTTTGAAACTCGGTTTTATTGCTACGAGTAAGAACCAGGAAAAGTTGGGGAAAGCCGAACCCAGCGTTAGTTATTCAAACTTTACCAGTTTCAGTGATTGTTAATGTAGAAGATTCTCACTAAAGGGACGAAGCTGCTTCAGAAAAATAGGTTCTCCTGATCTTTAAATCAACATTGTGTGCGTCGTAGACTTTAACTGAGGCACAGAATCTAAACGTTACCCATGATGCCGAGCTCTAACAGCAGAGGGAAGTGAATTTCCTGCAGCAGTATACATTCAGAGTAGAACAAAAAAAAAACAAAAAAAAACTTGAAACTGCAGCATTCAATAGATGGTATCTAATAGAGTTTGATGAGACTAATCCACCGGTCCAAAATCTGCCTACTCAAAGTGTGCTTTGAGTATCTGTATGCAGACGTAATACAATCAGTATTGTTTGTGATATCTCAAAGTGTTATCCGCTTAGTACGGCTGTCTATTACGACAGCTTCTTTCCATATACATATTTTACTGTATCTCTGAATGTACATAGCAGCAGGTGTATATAGCTTTCAGCTGTGTCTGTACACTAGCGATGATGATCCTCAGAGTGTCGAATATATATACACTTCAGACGTTCCAGCTTGATAATATTATCTCCTCCAGGAAATAGAAATACTTGCACATGAATGTCATGTCAGCAGATGCCTTAGATGTCGCTCTACTGTGACTGTACTGGGAGAGGAGTTTTATCTGTTTATTATTCATTGTCACCTGTACAACTGCTATGTGGTGTGTGTCGGTGGGTTTGACTCGAGCTCCACGCGACGGCTGCTGCTGGAGCCGGCAATACCTTGTTGTTATTAATCTGTCATGTCGTGAGAAGTCTTTCAACTTTTGTTGTATTTTATTTTTTAACTCATAGACTTTTTTTTCTTTGTATTATTAAGTTTCTGCTCATTGTGTCGTAGTACAGTGTATTCAAAAGCCTCTGTTATCATTAATCAGAAATGTTGGACTCAATCAATCGGACTTATAACACTGGTGTTCCCACTGGTTTTTCGACAGTCTCCAAATATTTGTGGTTAGTCTGCCTTTAGCTTTACAAGCCCAGTAGTGGCTTTTTAATCTTCTACAGCAATCAAATGCGTTGTTATTGGTGGAGTCTGCTATTCCTAAACCAGTGGTGCAAAGGAAATACTGCCGACCCCAGCTTTAGTCGTCACGAAACAATGCCACATATTCCTTTTAATGGTGTTGTTACCACAAGTTTGACATTTTATAGACTAAGCGATGGCACAAAAATACTTGCGCAGCTTTCCATTACATTCAAGTGTAGCTCCAATTTCAGTGTCTCATCTCAGGCCTGTAGTGTCTGCTTCGGTTCCCCCAGTCTGACTGTGATTTCTGACCAAAGAGTCAGTCTGGTGGGTGAAGGGAGTCGGTCTCCCATTTCTGACCAGTCTTATGGTTTTTTGCTGCTACATGATCACTTTTCTCTCCATCTGCACAAATTCTGAAATCCAACGCCTGAAATGTCCACGAGCCGGAACCCAACCGGCTCCAATGGGACGCTGATTTTACCTCATTCCAACCAATCAGGATTGACTATCTCAGCTTTTCCCTTTTTGCTTTGCAAATCAAATCAAAATGACCGATAAGCCTTATATCACTTCTCATGGGGGATGAGCAGTACAGCTGTGACCCCCTCCTCGGTGTGGTTATTATGGTGAAATTCATGATAGCAGGGCTTTTGAATGCACTTCCCAGTATTCACATGGAACTCCTCAGATCTTTTGGCTCATGTCATGTATGGGTTCATTTGTTTTCTGAATTCTCATTTTCCATCTTGCATGCATGTTTTTGTATAAGATGAGAATTGTCTCTTTTTTTTTTCTTCTTTTTTTTCTTTTTGAATCCCATCTTCACATATTTCACTTGAATTTCTTTCATGTCTTTTATTTATGTCGACTTATGTCCCGATCATAAATTTTATCCTCTGTGAAATTGCATATACATCTAAAAGTGATCACTACCATTGTAGTTTGGTGACCTTGGAATTGTACGGCTCTCGAGTGTTTTGGTCAGATGTTGAAATTTGGGGAAATGCAAACTTCAAAGTCGGGGAGTGGTTACATTGGAATCTTAAAAACCCAAACTAAAACCATACAGTTCCAAGCTCACCACTGTCGAACCTTTCTATGTTTGTTATTCTGTATGTAAAGTCTCCATAAACTCATGAACTGTCCTGTCTGCTTGGAGGAGACGCTGTGAGACATGAACTTGTCTTCTTTCACAATTCTGAGCAAATTCTTCAGCTCCTTTGGCTTTGGTGGACTTGCAGACACGACAGTAAAAGTGGTGTTAGCGATTTTTTTTGTTGCCTTTGTGTTCCCTGTATAAACTGAAATAAAGCACTGTTATTCATCATCCGTTTCTCCCCGCTCACAGTTGTTCTTTTAACAACAACCACATGTTCCTTGTGTTTAGACGCTTCTGCCACCGGCCTTCACTCCAGTAGTTATATAGAGAACACAGTCACAAGCATTTAGGAGCTTAGAATAAAAACATAGGTAAAGTCCCAAAGTATTTTGCTGCAATGTCAAATATAGATGGAAACAGCATCTAGTTCACATTCTTAACGGGACCAGTTAGAATTTTGGGGAATACTTGGTTTGTAATTTGCTGTCTACACATTTGTTTTTGCACAGATTAAATCAACTTGTTATATCTCTCAATCCCAGAAAATACTGTCAGGTTTAATTAACATGCATGCTTTTTAATTGCTAAAATTAGACTATTTATTAGCTAGAAACCGTATCAACGGATAAAATCAGACTCTTTCCATCATTGCAGTAATCAAGTATGACATGCGGTTCTGCAAACCCAACCTTGCAATTGTGATACTTTATCAAACTCACTTTAATCTATGTCTCATTTTAAAATAAATATATATTTTTTTTAAATGGCTAAAATTAAAGATTTGCACAACATCCTAAAAAAAAATTGAAATAAAAAATTGAAAAATTCAGCACTCCTCAGTGCAACCTAGAGTTAATGACTGGCTCACTGCCCCCAACAGTGATGGGACAATAGTTTAAGGACTTTTTGTTGTTTTTTTAAAAGATTATTTTTTGGGATTTTTGCCTTTATTGGATAGGACAGTGTAGAGCAGGGATCTCTGGTCCTCATGAGCTGCTGTCCTACAGGTTTTAGATGTTTCTGTACTGCAACACACCTGACTCAGCTTCATGGATCTCCAACAGCTTGTTGTCAAGTTCTACACAAGTCTGTTTATGATTCATTCATATGAGTCAGGTGTGTTGCAGTACGGAAACGTCTAAAACCTGCAGGACCGGAGTTGGAGATCCCTGTTGAAGAAAGACAGGGAAACGTGGGGGAGGACTGGCAGTAAATGAGCCACTGGCTGGACTCGAACCGCGGCCGCTGTATCAGGGACTATAGCCCATGCACATGGGCCACTGTCTTATCCGGTGGAGCGAACGGGGCGCCCAACTCAGGGACTTTTATGGCTGAATCGCAGCCTGTGTTTCAACAGAGCAGAGAGGAAACAGTAAGGAAGGAAACTGGCAACACTGAGAGGAAAATAAGTATATAATAGAGAGCCAGAGTAAGTTGAAGTTGTTAACAAGCGTTCCTTTTGTTGGGTTACATAACACAACCACCTGTTGCGGTCGGTATTCCAGTTTGACAGCGTTTTACAGATCCAGCAGAGAGATGTCGACATATTTAAAGCTTTTGTTG